ATTGGTCCAGGGAGAGGCAATGGTGTCACAGCATCTCGGTACGTTGATCAAGTTTTGAGACCACGCGCCATACCTCATTTGGGTCACCGAAACCACGAGTTTCAGCATGATAACGCCCGTGCCCACACTGCGAGAACAACAAGAGACTTCCTCCAGCAGAATGGCATCGGAACCATGCAGTGGGCTGCCCTCAGTCCCGATTTAAATCCCATTGAGCACATGAGGGACGAGACTCAAAGACGGCTTAATGACGTCCGACCAAGGCCGACAACTGCAGCTGAACTGCGTCAGGCGTTCCTCAGAGTGTGGGATCAAGGTGCCTATGGCCTTCATCAACCGCCTCATCCATTCCATGTATCGACGTTGCACGGAAGTCATCAATGCACATGCCGGACACACGAGATATTGACTTGTGATGCCACTTAATTTAGAGACTAGTGTTGTGTTTCACTTTAAGAACATTTGACACTTTAATTTCAACCTTGATGATCAGTTTTGCCAAGTTTCATCTTTTTTATATGTCTCAAAGTATGTTTACAGTGTTTGAAAAAATAAGGTTTCTCATATTTCTATCCATGGTGACGTTTCTTTTGCGGTTCAGTGTATATATACATGTTTACATCTTCACTGTTAGTTAGGGGGCGGTCGGGTAGATTAGTGGTTAAAGCGTTAGCTCGTCACGCCGAAGACCCGGGTTCGATTCCCGACATGGGTACAATGTGTGAAGCCCATTTCTGGTGTCCCCCGCCGTGATATTGCTGGAATATTGCTAAAAGCGGCGTAAAACCTCACTCACTCACTCACTGTTAGTCTGGTATTCCGACAGCATGTACAGCCGCGAGTAGGATACGCCTGCTTCCTGGACTTGAGTTGAATTACAAGAGCTGGAATCACCGCTCGACTTTTTTCTATTAGTATTAAATTTTGTATTTGGTTTTTTTATTACCGACTGAAAACGTTAGGACTCAACTTCGTCTTCAATCTGATCTAATTTCCCCCCTCAAAAGGACCGCCTCCGTGGTCTAGTGGTAGAGCGTCCGCCCGGAGAGCGGAAGGTCCGGGGTTCGATCCCCGACCGCGTCATACCAAAAGACGTTAAAAGATGGTACTTGTTGTTACCCTGTCTGGCGCTCGGCATTAAGGGGCTGGTTGGCTCGGAGTCAATATACTGTGTCTGAGTTGGGTATTCATGTTAAACTGCGGCATGGTATCTCAGTGACCTAGCACTATAAATCGGCATCAGTCCGGACTAGTACAAGCAGCCACCCAAACACACACACGTACATGCACGTCGCTATATAAGTGCTATAATCTTGGACGTGACGTTAAACTCCATTTCACCTCACCTCCCCCGTCAAAATACGCATTGACTCATCCATAGACTATCATGTTGTTACAGTCATACCGGATCTGGGTTCCGTTGTACAGAACAACCTGAGCGCTACGACTGCATAAGTCAGTGCTAAGGTATGGAAGTCACGGTGCCCTTAGCGCTAAGATCGCTTTGTACAACGGCACTGGACTGCGCCTTTTCCTTGAAAGATAAGATGGCCTGGTCTGGAATGGATTGAAGTGATAAGTGAACTATTTTTTTTTCTTTTTCGACCTTGCGTGTGTAAACTGTGTCAATGTCAGATAAAATAAATGCTGTATTTAAAAATTAGTGGTTGTAAGGAAACTAGTTATTTCAAGCTATATAGATTATGGGCAGGAAGACTAGGTTAAGGACCATGACGGAAAACGTTGAAATTTAGGTATGAAAATTATCAAACATGTTTACATGGCTGACAACTAAAGTACTCATGGAAATGGAAAAAAACCTGTTTTGCTGGATTTAATAATCGACACAAAGCATTACGTAGATGTAAATACGAAATAACAAAACAACTGGAAAAGTACTAGTCTGGATTTGCTAGTTTTATCACAGTGTTCAATACAAAATGTATTTTACAGGAGGTAATTTGTAGGCACTTTCAACATTCAAAAATAAAACTAAGTCCAAATTGACATGGCAGAAACAGGCTATAGGCATTATGCAAATTAGCCTGGAAAAAGTTATCAAAACAACAATTAAAATAACAGCTATGTTTATGTACATAATAATAATGACATGTAAGTTGTTATTTGAGAAGGGAATATGTTACTTTTACGTTCTGATATTTTGACGATGATTCACTATCCCACAATGCCACTCACAAATCACTAACCACTGACAAATCACATGCACGTGGGTTTCAAGCACCTGTTTTCACCTGTCGTCAAGGTGTCATAGGTCATGGACATTCACCTTGTTCTACTGACACCTGGTTGTGCTCATTTTCACAATAGTCTGTTTTGTTCATATTTTTCTTTACACACTTTTACGTGTAAAAAGACATAAAAGCCTTTGATACGCTGTATTTGTGCCAAGGCCCAATTACTACTAACTGAGTTGTTTGAATATTTATATATTTTGTATATTAACTGCATTTATTTAAAATCTGAGATCGAAAAAAGTTTTTTTCCATTTCCTTGAGTACTTCAGCCTTTTTTCTTTTGCACTTGCAAGAATTGAACTTCAGACATGGTCAAATACATATATGGCTGTAATGAGTGTGTATGGTTTTACGCCGCTTTTAGCAATATTCCAGAAATATCACGGCGGGGGACACCAGAAATGGGCTCTCACATTGTACCCATGTCGGGAATCGAACCCGGGTCTTCGACGTGACGAGCGAACGCTTTAACCACAAGGCTACCCGACCGTTCTAATGAGTGATAGAATCGGGAGTTTTAGAACTTCAGTATTATGAAGAAAGTGACCTAAGATGATTTTGTACCATAATGTTTGTCCTGTCTTCAAGTACACCATCTCCCATGGAAATCAGCTTGGGTCAAATATTAGAAAAACGCTTCACAAAAACCTTAACAATCTGCCTTTTATACATAATTTATACTTACCTGACATAATTTAAATTTAGCGGTCTTTTGTGTTCAGAACTTGAGAAGATTTTGTTGTTGTTGTTGTTGTTGTTTTTGTTTATAAAATTCGGCAATACCGCAGCTATATGACCGCGATCTGTAAATAATTGAGTCTGAACCAGACAATCCAGGGATTGATATGATGAGCATCGAGCCACACAATTGGGATACGATTACATGCATCAACCACGTAAGCAAGCCTCATCCCGTTAGTCGCCTCTTAAGACAAGCATAGTTGCCTCTCTTACGGCAAGCACGGGTTACTGAAGACCTATTCTATTCTTCACGGGTCAGAAATGTCCCTAGGATAACAGTGAAACATTTGATTAATAAAACTTGATTAATAAAATCACCACCAATTAATTATTTCAATAACCAAGGAGATACAAGATCTCTATATTAGACGGTGGATTGCAGTATTTCCTCCATTAGATGCCAGGCGTCACCCGTCTACCGTACTTCCACTATTTGATAATAAAGAGGTGAGGTGAGGTGAAATTCGGGTTTAACGTCGCGTTCAAGATTATTTCACTTATATAGCGACGTGCATGTATGTGTGTGTGTGTTTGTGTGGCTGCTTGTACTAGTCCGGACTGATGCCGATTTATAGTGCTAGCCCACTGAGATACCATGCCGCAGTTTAACATGAATACCCCACTAAGACACAGTATACTGACTCCGAGCCGACCAGTCCTTGTTTTAGCCCCTCAATGCCGAGCGCCAGACAGGGTAACAACAATCACCATCTTTTGACGTCTTTTGGATTCGAACCCACAATCATAGGTTTCTGGCGTGGCCAAGGGACGCAACTCTGCACAGCGAATCGCGGCGCCTCAGACGACTGGGCCACCCGTGCCCCCGCGGTCTAAGTGAAAGGGAGTAATCATTAGATGCCATAAGTTGATGAGCTAGGGATAAATAATTTGATGAAATAATGGACCGGCCTCTCTTTTTTAGATAGTATGACCCAGTTAGAGGGATTCATGTGTTGGTAGTAGTGTCTTTTGATGAAATACGGTAGTTACATTTGCGAGACATCTTGGAAGTGATTTTTTTTCACCTCAGTCAGCAAAATTTCAGCTGTATCATCACAGCTGCCTGTACATCCGATCCATAATGTCGCTGAGGCAGCTTTGTATGTCACTTAACCATTCGTGAAAATATTGAGAGAGAGTGGGTGGACGAGTTTGACATCTTCTTGAAGAGTATTTCTGTTATATCACGGTGTGTCATCAGCTTGATGTGGGAGGAAATGTCAAAGTGATGCACGCAGCTCTCAGATGTTGACCACGTTGGTAAAAACCCACTAGCATCCTATGGTGCTAGCAAAAGAAACGGTCGGTGCGCATCGAGCATTCGAAACGACGATCATGCTTTGTTTTTGTGTGCGTTTTTTCTGTAACACCTATGGGATGCAACAAGGCACAATTGCGGCGCCATAGATCATTGTGCCACTGGCGGCTCAACCGGTGACTAGGAATCAAGAATATATTTTGACTTTCACGCAGGTCTTGTTCATTTTATTCCCAGATATTTTGAGCGGAACCGTGTACATGGATGATATATTTGTTTCTTTGTTGTTTAACATCCCACTCAGCAATATTCCAGCTATGTGACAGTGGTCTGTTAATGAGTCTGGACCAGACAAACCAGTGATTGACATCATGAGCATCAATCCACATAATTGGGATACGATGACAAGCATCAACCAAGTCAGCAAGCCGGATCACCCAATCCCATTAACTGCCTCTTACAACAAGCATAGTCACCTTTCATGGCATGAATGGGGTTGCTGATCAATTCTACACAGCACAGACATGGGTCCCAGATCTGGTTGGCCACAAACTGTAGTCTGGAATATGTCTTTGCATGTGAACCTTGTATTGGATTATATGCAGAGACAGGTCTTGTACAACAAACTAACATCTCTCAAATGCTGCATAAACCCTAAATCGGAAACAAGACGAGGTTGCAAGATTCTGCTTAAAATTCATTCATCCTCGAGATGAAAGGTTGCGAACATACTACAAATCCAAACACTTTATTTACATTTTATTTCCTCTCATGTGCAAAATGAATCAGATGATAAAATTGAGGTAACATTCATAAGAACACATCGACAAATACACAACTTCTTCGGTTACTGAAGTTTAACAAAGAATCAGGCGATCGGAAATATACTTGAACTAACCAATTAAAAAATCCAGACAGAAGAATGCCATTGACAGCAAAAGGCATCAAGTAACATACACCTGTACATAGATGTACCAGGTGCTTGCTGCACAAACAAAGTACCCTTGTTTCAATTCAATCTGATTTAATGCAAATGTTTAAATGTTGACAACACAAACCTTCAAACTCAGGAATGTCTTTGAGGAACATTCTTATACATTGACTGTCAGAATTTTTAGAATGCTGTTCTATCAAAGACTGTTTGTATTTCAAAATATCTTACTAATGATAATGGCAAAATTAGTTGATAAACAGAAAGGCATAATAAATTGATCAAGTTTTGATATGAAATTAAGAATAAATAATAAGTTTGAGAATATTTCTTACAAAAGTGTAATCCAATTACAAACCTAACACAGCTTATTTAAACTTTATAAAAATATTACCTGACATTCTGTAGTGGTACTGTGAAGTACTGAAAGAACTTGTCTATCGAGGATGGTATGTTTACTAGTCTGGCGCACAAGGATCGGACTAGCAGAAGGACCAACTTTAATCACTGTCTTGGACAGCTCATACTCCCTCTACCTTCTATACCATGGCATCTCTTACGAGATCGGGTCAACACAAGTCATACAACAGACTTTGTTTCACACATGCTCAAGTTCACACATTCACAAGATATTTCATGTCCGCCCTACATGGAGGCCCTGACAGGCAACAGTGAAGAGATCTTGTACTGTGATGTTTACGTGTACTTGCACACATATTTCATCAATCTCCAGAAAGCCATACCAAGATAGACTGGTATCACAGGTGAGTGTTGCACAGAAACACGGGAAACGACCACAACTACTTGTTATGATGTGAAAGGGGCGATGTCATCTTCTTGGATGATGGAGGCAGAACTCATAGTCGTTCCCCAGGGTGTGAGTAGATATTTGAGAGACAGAGAGTATACACTTCATGCTACATCAGCAAGTTTACAGCCAGTGGGAGGATTAGTGACAAGGCATTGCTGCGACGACTACTATGGAGTATGATAAACAGTATGGAAAAACATCTTTGTTATTTGCAACCACAACAAATTCACTCAACAGTCCAAAAAGCACAATCCACCATGTGGTCATGGGGGTCGACATTTTCACTTTCATAATCCTTTCATTCAAAATAAATGAGATGAATAACTTTGATTCCCTATTACACCAATGAAACAAACAAAGCTGAAAAATTCCAGTCTGGTATCGAATGATCTACAGTCCAGTAACCATAGTCACAAAACAGAACAATTTGAAATCATTCTTTCTCTGTTTACTTCTACCTTAAAAATGAAACAAAACGGTGGCAATGATTTCGGAAACGGAAACAGTTTCATGAGATGATGTTCAACAACATGTAATACTTATGTCCACGATCTATCACACATTAGCACTTCCTGCCTGGGTTCAAACCCAGACTCTTGGCACCACTTAGATCTGCCCTGTACACACGATGCTAGCAAACATTAAGTGCATATTTATATACAAATGGCACTTGTACTTCAAGTGCTGCAACATGACATTAATTGCCCACTTGTCCTCCAAGCGTTGACCATGTCTGTATGTCAGTCCCTCAAAGGAAACTCAACTGTCCAATGCGGTACACAGCTTTCAGCCATTGATGCTTGAAGCAGTACATGTAGTAATGCAGATACAAATCTGTATCTAGTGTCCTACATGTTCCATGTCCTTGTCCTTCGCTGAGGTGTGTTGCCCATGTGTATTCACTGCTCCATAATAACTTTCGACATCGTCCATTTTTTGTGAGGGTAATCTGTCATTGATAGACTGATATAGATTACATTTTGGTAAGCTGACTAGTAGACATGGTAGCGTCTTAAATACAAGACAGGTTTGTTGATTTTGAACGGTGGGAACGTAATGTCTTGGATACACATTGCCGTAACCTTGCATCCTTGTCACGATTACAGGACTTGGCCCCAGCTTAGCACTGGGCAATTAACGCTTCAATTTTAACCTTGTATCCTGGGTCCATAGAATCACAGCTGAACACAGAGCACACATTGGGTACAGGAGCACCTAAGTCTACATCAATAAGGGCCTTAGATATCAGTCCCAGTTGGATCACAGGGCAACTTCAGATACAGACAGGTGCAACCTCGGCCTACATGTACGAGGGCCGGCCTTGGAGATATTGGTCCCAGATCTTGCACAATATAGTAACAGTAGCTGACATTTCCTATAGGCAAGGCTGATCAAAAGCCTTCTTGGTACTGCTTGCTCTCCAGCTTGGCAATGATCCTCTCCAGCATCCGTCGGGCCTCGCAGTTGGGGAAGTTGGACATGTCGTAGTACTGGGGCGCGATCTTGATCAACCTGCGGACACAAGCAACAGGCAGCTACATTTCATGTCATCAAATTACGTCTCAGAATAACAGCTATATGTGGGTGGGCCAAAGATGTTTACAGTGAGTGAGTGAGAGGGTGAGTGAGTGAGTGAGAGGGTGAGTGAGTGAGTGAGTGAGTGAGTGAGTGAGTGAGTGAGTGAGTGAGTGAGTGAGTGAGTGAGTGAGTGAGTGAGTGAGTGAGTGAGAGAGAGAGAGAGATGCAGCACTATCAATCTTGTACCATGAACCTGCAAGCTTGGGAATGGTGCTGACAGACCACAGGTCAGATCATACAGTAAATCTTGGTATCAAACCCAGATCTAGGAGAACCATCACAGTGATCTGCCTCACACTTTTACCACTGAATCAGCTCTGCTGAAATGGTAGTGGGGCGGCAGTCTGGGGTTTCACATCAACAGCTAACTAACCCACTGTGAGGGTCAATAATAGAAGGGGGCACAGGTAGGTCACAATCTCATCCCCCCTGCATCTCTGGGCATCTCATACCACATGCCACACAAGGACCTAATCTGTCCTACAGTATCTCAGATGGCCAGGAAAGTAATTGGCTACAAACAAAAAAAAGCAAATGATGCCATCCTTCTAATCAGTATGAGTCCCTGATGCTATATGTCTTTGTTGCACTCAGCAATATTTCAGCTATTTCACAGCGGCCTGAAAATAATCAAGCCTGGACCAGTCCATCTCCGAGGCAAAGACTAGGCTAGAATTATGGAGTCATATTTTGGCTGGACTAACAAGTCTATGCTCAGTCCAATCAAAATCGCGTAACAAAATCGACATCCGGTTCGTAAACAACGATTTCAACGTGCAGATTTTGGTCGACTGCAGGATTTGCAACGGATGTGTACCGTGAACTGGTCGTCGACAGACATTTTCCAAATCTTTTCATGTTTAAAATCAAGGTGCTCACATGACTTGAAGCACTTCACGAGGTAAGACCCTTTTTATTACAATATAGATCTTGATCATCGAACAGATCATCTTGACTGGGCAACGCCATTTCGTTTGAGGCAAGTCCAAGTGATATGAGAGGTGGAATCTGACGGGTCAATAGGAGGGGTCATAATAGTCACCAGTGGTGCTATGATCAAGCCAAGACATTTCAGCCTAGTTCGGCAAGGGTGGAAAGTGGACTTTTAGAGTTAGTTACCTCCCTTGCCTTAGGAAGATGTGACCAGTCAATCCCGTGATTGATGTGAGAAAGTAGTGACACCACTGGCATCTGAGAGCCTGACCATGAATACATGAAGTTGTCTCTTCCGACCAGCATAGGCTCCTGGGAACTTATTCTAACAAGGGCTGCTTCTTTCCTGACAACTAGTCCATCACTTTCACATACGTAGTAATCTGGTACTACAATGCTAAAAAGAAGTCAAGGACCTTTAAATTCTTTCATATATAATATACAATAAAAGTTAGGGATAAAAAATATATTTGGGAATATTTTTATGAAATTGCGTGCTCAGTCTTCACTACAAACAAATATTCCCTAAATATTCATGGTCCCTAACTTGTTTTTGTTAAGTATATTACCAGAGATCCAGATAAGCTGCGTATCTGCGTAAAATACGCATCAGAAATGCAGAAATATGCAGTAAAATAATACGCAACGAACATTACAGATACGCTACAAAAATAAAATTTGTGCGTATATTCAAAATATTGTGAAGTAACCCTGCGTATTCGATTGGCAAATCAGCAACTTATTTTGAAATTATAAACGGGCATTCCGTCAACCTTGCCAAACTCCAAATGACAGTTACATCATGATCATTTGCCATCACACTTTCTTGTGGAAGTATCGTGGTATTTATGAGTCCTATAAAGCTCTCGAACCCACACAACACCAGTTTGCAGGGACTAGATGAATAGTGTTTTTAAATATTTAACTTAATACCCACATGTGTAAAAACTAGTGGGTAACAGAAATTTGAATACCCAGATAGAATAGCTGATATGCAGTGATTTTAAAATGCATGGGTAAAATACCCACAACACCAAAAGCTTATCTGGAGCTCTGATTACCATTGTAAATCTGTCATGGTCCTTTACTTCTTTTGAATATTACAGAACCAGTTCTTCTACAAGGGAGAAGACGGCAATACGTGGTGAACTTGTGCCCAGCACCTTCGTCTTTTTGGACAATAAAATATGTTCAAATAAAATAAATAGAACCAGTACACACCACTCTGGCTTGATATCCGTGACAGTCCTGATGTAGTTCTTGGTGGTGAGCACAAACTCATTGTAGAGCACCCACTCCGGCTTGTGGTCGAGGACGGTGGACGGGTGAAGCTGTACTACCTGGTTGTCCTTCACAGTCAAGTAGTGACCCGTCCGCTCCAGGTGAGCGATCTGCAGCACAGCCGTAAAGGTTAGCACACACCCAGCTACATACAGAATCACCTGAACCAACCTAATGTTTCCTCATAACTAAAAACAGAATGGTTCTATTTCCTAAACTAACTCATACATAATTAATGCCTCTTCAAAACAAAAAATTGTCGTAATCTGTTTATCTTAAATCTCTAGCTGACAAAGAAATACTTTCAACTTTGAAATGCTAATTCTGAAAATTAAAATCTTTCATTAAATGTACATAATCTGATGTTAAATATGTCATCAGTTCAATTTACAATTAGAAAACAAGCAGTATATCAAATAAAACATGGAAAACGTTACTTGAATGAGGATATTGAACTATTTTCTACGAAACATTTACAAAGGGGATAACATAGGTTGCCAATTTCATAACACATCATCACACAAATGATGCCACCCCAACACTCTTGACCGACCATGGCTGTTCCCCACGGCCAAGGGGGGGGGACATGCATGCTGAAAGAAACTCATTCTCTTAAGGGTTAGATCAGATCTAATTTGACATGGTGCGAAAATAAACATGATACACATACACAGTCAGGGCTCAATTTAACTTGATTTAACCTGCACCAGGTGCATGTTGACAAGAAAAGCTGGTTGCACCAGACAAAACCAGGCTGCACCCTGGTCCCATAAATTTATTGAAGCCGAAATATTGATGCATAAGCTGGCGTAAATAAATAAAATCTCAGATCTGTGATGACTATCAAGATTTTACATAAATTAATGATGTATACCTGTCAAATGTAAAAGTATCCACAGTTTGGTGACAAGCCCAAGAAAGCAGGACAAGTCTGTACATAAAACTTCAGGTATTGAGTGACTTCAAAAATCAGTGTTGGGATTAAAGGTCAGTGTAAAACAGACACAAAATTGAATTTGTTTTACATGCACTTGTGCATTTGTGCATGTCTACATAAATATTTGGTTGGCGTTTTCAATAATAGGGTGCACTGGTGCAAGTTTTATACAGCTAAATCAATCCCTGACAATTACAAGTATTATTCTTCAGTCAAAATAAAATGCTTGAAATAACTGCAATTGTATTTGATACAACAATCCTGACTGATAGAGACTTTCCAACTTCATGCGACTGTACATATAACCAAGGGAGATAACTCTAAACATGATTTTCCACATCAACACATGAGTTACGTTACATTTTATTCAATGGATATTGAGTAGGTATGACAACTCAAGCCAATCCCCAAAGTTCCAAAAATATACTGATGGAAACGAAAAAAGGAACAATGAAAAATATAGGGAAACAAGCTTTATCGTCAGTACATTTTAAATAGCACCATACAAATTCAACATGTCAGAATCAAATGTTGAGATGTGTTTGTGTGCATTGTTTCCAACGTGTATTTGGTGGACAAGACTGGGAACCCATGATAGCAGATCATTTTACTGGGTCGAAAACTAAGTGTTCGCTTATTCATTTTGATCAGTATACATACGGAGGGAGACAAAAAATGACCAGATAAGAAGGGCAGCAATAGTATGTCTGTACTTCAAGATGACAGGAGAAATTAAAGTGACATTTCACTGTGCGCTTCATAGGAACAATTTGTATGCAAAACTTTGCAGGAGACTTTCCTTTTCTACACGGCAATGTGTTTCCTGACTTATTTCCATCAGTATATAGAGATCCTATTCCTGACTCATGTCAAATGTTTGGCATGGTGGATGATAACTCCCCTCCCGCTCCTGAATGCCGTACCTGCATGAAGTAACCGGAGACTAACGCCTTCCTGATGTTGATGTAGTAGTCTCGGCTGGTGAAGTCAGTGCTGGACCGCCTCAGGTTGAAGCGATCCATGATGCGAGCAAGCTGCTGCCGCACATTGTCCGCGCTCTTCAGTGACCGGAAGTTGATGAAGTTGTCATAACACCATTGCTGGTCCTCCTGGTCTGTAACGGAAGATAACACAGGTTAACAAGGTATCCTTCTTGAAATACTCTAGAATGGGCATTTAAGTCATTATCATTGTCATTATAATATTATCTGTCAATCATTCACCTTATTATACTCTGGAATGGTCACTATCGTCAGTATCATTATCTTTGTCATAATATTATCTGCAAATCATTCACATTCATCTAATTCACCAATCCAAAATCATTGTGGGTACAAATCAATCATTTGTGTGTTTTTCTTGTTGAATGCAATACTCAGCAATATTAGCAATATTACCATGGCTGCCTGTAGATAATTAAGTCCGGATTAGACAATCCAGTGATTGATATCATGAGCAAAGATCCAGGTCGTCAGGGTACACTCACCACCATCAACCAACATGACCACGCGATCCAAAAGTAGTCTCAATCTCATTTACATCAGATCTTAGTTCTCGCTGCAGTTAAACATCTAAGGACATCCCATTACGGGTCATGTGAGAACGACCTTTCATCTGACCAATCAGAGCGTTGCTTACCAGATCAGGAAAGTGACAGTTGGAATGTGTTTTCTTATCATGCTACCTCGAACAGTAACGACTGATTCCGTGAAAATCATTTTCTATCTATCACTTCAATGGGATAAACATTTGAACGGAAAAGATTTGGCATAGCCAGTGGGACGCACTGCTGTACAATCTGGGTCATTTATTCAACATTCCAGAATGTTCTTTTGTTCAGTTTTAAAATCTTGAATCGATAACTTTGTCAACATAATTTTCACATTTTAGTCAGGAATGGAAGTTGCCAGTTTGAAACTAGTGCCGTAAGCTCGAGATAACTGCTTTCTGATTCGCTTATGTCAAATTCTTGTTATTCGTTTCTGTGGTCGGTCAAGTTCGCGAATCAGTTGTCTTGAAGTGACCTGTAATGGGATTTCCTCAGATCTTTGATAGCGGTAGCAAGAACTATTCTAAATCGGATCCCCACTGGTGAGTCAAACATAACCCATCCATTAACCGTTCATACATTATCATTCTCACCCCTTAATTCATCCTAATACTCATCCATCCATGGTTCATTATCATCCAATCCATGAACAACTCATCCATGCACATCAATCATTCATAGTCATCCATAATATCTTTATACAAATACGTCATCCACATGTACTCATCCATATTTTGTTCATTATTCATCTATTCATCATTAACAATCCTTCCCATCAAGAAAGGTGTTAGAATCGTCTTCAGCAACCCATGCTTGCCATAAGAGGCAACTATTCTTGTCACAAGAGGCGACTAACAGGATCGGGTGGGCAGGCTCGCTGAATTGGTTGAAGCATGTCATCGTATCCCTATTGTGTAGATCGATGCTCATGATTCCAGTCACTGGATTGTATGGTCCAGACTTGGTCCAGACTTGCCTATTTACAGACTAGGTGGAATATTGCTAAATGACTGTGTTACAATGTACTCACTTTGCTTGAAAGCATGGTATACGTTGAGCAGAGTGAGGTGATCACCATCGATGTGGGCGAACCTCATCTTAGCCTCGTCTGCAGGTTTCTTGGCCTCAGCCGGTCGAACGAAGCACTGCGGGACTAAACAGGGGTGGGTGGGGGCCATGACGGCCCGGCCCCAGCGCCATTAGTTCTCATAGGTCAAACAGCATCATGACTAAAAGGAAGCCAGTATGTTAGACAGTGCACCTGCCACTTCTAATTCAGGAGAGCTTAAACTGCAACTGAGACAAATACTGACATTGCAAATGTTCTCAAGCAGACATATACTGCATTTAACACATTGTAACAATCTAACTGTGGCAGTGTGCACTGTTTGGGCAGAAACATACAGATGCGGACAACAACATGGAATCAACCGCACAAATTTCATCATAAATATATTGCATGTTCTTCAAATATTTACAAGCAGTGTAGTATTTGAGACTGTTGAACAATGTTGGACCTCGATTAAAAATGATATCCGCTGTTCTTAACCCACATGCGAATACTCAGCCACTAGGGTTGTAGGGAATCAGTGAGCTTTGTGTAACACCACCGCCACGGTTTGTCAGTTAATGTGGGCTTAATGTGGGAGGCAGGGCAGAAGTGATGCAGGTCAAAGATTTCTACCACTTTGTTGAAACCCACAAGTTATGGTGCGACCAAATCAAGAATAATAATTTCGACAACATTGGCATTCAAACCCCTGATCACAGGATCCTGGCCTGACTAAGGGACACAACTGGCCTGACATTTGCATGATATATCAGTGAAAACGATGTCTGAAGATCATCTTGAGGTCTCCCCTCCATACAAAATGAGACGAGTACACAAGGAAAATACATGTGAAAATGCTATTTCCTTAGTGAATGAACAAGCTATTGTTACATTGAAACAGGTTTACCAAATATCTTTTTGCTGCATCTTGAATCATGGAACATGGCAAGTATCAAGTTTCCATATATCATATCTGGACCACAATATCTAGATATATCCAGATACACGTCACAACCACAATTTTTATTGATTTTATTATATATAAGAACAGGGCCCGTTCCATGAGTGAGTGAGTGAGTATGGTTTTACGCCGCTTTTAGCAATATTCCAGCAATATCACGGTGGGGGACACCAGAAATGGGCTTCACACATTGTACCCATGTCGGTAATCGAACCTGGGTCTTTGGCGTGACGAGCGAGCGCTTTAACCACTAGGCTACCAGACCGCCCCGCCCGTTCCATGGAGTGCTCTTAGCAGTACAATGATCGTCAGCCTATGTTAAAGTTTGTGGAACAAGCCCCAGGAGCATAACATTCCATACCTCTGGAACAGAAAGAGGACCACAGGATCAAGGAATGCTTGTTATTTGAAGGAATCAATGTTTTCACTACACCCTTCCTCTACTTGCCTCAATCTGACCATCTACTACCTGAGTCCCATTACCTGACAACATGGCCGTTATCGACAGAATCTCGTTGGAACAGCTGAAATCACAGCTGGCAATAACCATTTTAGCGAGCTGTGGATCCAGTGGAAACTCAGCCATCATGGAGCCGAGTTCTGTGATCTCTCCGTCGTCATCAAGGGCTGCCAGGTAGTTCAACAACTCCAGTGCCCTCATCAACGTCTCAGGAGCTGGAGAAATTCAAAGCAATCAATGCGACACCATCTTAACCGATCCTCATTAGTTTTATGATTTTCATTTGATTGTTGTTTACTGCTGCACTCAGCAATATTCCAGCTATATGACAGCGGTCAGCTATATGAGATCATGAGCATCGATCCATGCAATTGGGATACAATGACATGCATCAACGAAGTCAGCGAGCCTGACTACCGGATCCCGTGAGTTGCCCCTTACGTTGGTTGGTTTGTTGTTTAATGCAGCACTCAGCAATATTCCAGCTATATGACGGCGGTCTGTAAATAATCGAGTCTGGACCAGACAATCCAGTGATTAATATCATGAGCATCAATCCACACAATTGGGATTGATGACATGCATCAACCAAGTCAGCAAGTCTGACTACCGGATCCCGTGAGTTGCCCCTTACGACAAGCAGAGTCGCCTTTTACAGCAAGCATTGGTTGCTGAAGACCTTTTCTCTACCCGGATCTTCACGGGTCTAATGAAAGAGGTACATCGAAGTGTGCTGCAGACCAATGGTGTCTGTCTCTGTCAAGGATAATGATTGGTTGGTTGGTTTGTTGTTTAATGCAGCACTCAGCAATGTCCCAGCTATATGACGGCGGTCTGTAAATAATCGAGTCTGGACCAGACAATCCAGTGATTAATATCATGACCACCCGATCCCGTTAATCGCCTTTTACGACAAGCATAGTCACCTTTTACGGTGTACATACGGCAAGTATGGTTTGCTGAAGACCTATTCTTCCCCGGCGTCTTCACGGGCCGTCAAGGATAATGAAGTTACATCTGGGAAAATAACCATACACTTAATTCCCAAAGAAACAACATTGATATGATTTCTATTTTCTGACTGAATTAACTTGACACATTAATCCTTCCTGACACCTACCAGGTGGATCCATGAAGTCGAAGTGCACGAGATCATCGATACCAAGCTTCTTGAGTTGCAGCACTACAGAGCCGAGGTTGGACCGGAGGATCTCAGGGTACGTGTTGTCCTGCATCTCCTGCTTGTACGCCTTCTCCGTGTACAGACGGAAACACTTCCCCGGCTGAGTCCTGCCAGCTCGGCCGGCTCGCTGCTGGGCGCTGGCTTTACTGATGGCAGTCACCAGGAGAGACTCCACTCGGATACGGGGGTTGTACACCTGGAATCAACCGGTTACCATGGTTACAAGGTCAATCAGTTACCATGGTTATAAGGTCAATCGGTTACCATGGTTACAATGTCAATCGGTTACCAGCTTATTATAGATTATACATCAGCTATTTACTGCTAACAGTTCCGGGTTCAGGTAACAAAACTCAATAAGAGAAACCAACAGCAGCAGCGGAGCCTGAATATGAGCAAACAAGCTTAATCACTACATCAGAAGGTTAAAGACCCTTGAAATTCCTTCAGAAGCCCTACCTTCTGTTTGGCAAAGCCAGGGTCTATCACAAACACAACACCATCAATTGTCAGGGATGTTTCAGCAATGTTGGTGGAGACCACCACCTTCCTCCCGATGGCTCCGTTGGGCTTCTTGGCAGGGGCAGGCTCGAAGATGCGCTGTTGCTGGGCTGGGGGGAGGGTTGAGTACAAAGGGATACACTTCAAGTTGCCCACGTCAGGACCCAGGTTGTCCACCTCCCGAGACAGTCTCTTGCACGCCTCGTCAATCTCCTATACAGGAACAAAGATGTGCATGTTTCATTTCCTTAAAGTCAGAAAACTGTGGCTATGAACTATCATTCATTTACTTCGTGAAGGTTCATAGAAATACTTGGCAGATTGGGTTGTATTCTCACTCCCCAGGCAGCTAAGAATGCATTTTGGGAATCAATACTGATGTGTAGGATGGGGTACCAAAGTCAGACACTTTTGGTGTAGCTATCATTCAGTTTCTTCATTCAGTGAGGTGATATGGGGTTTAACGCCGTGTCCAAGATTATTGCACTTATATATAGCGACGTGCATGCACGTGTGTGTGTGTGGCTGCTTGTACTAGTCCGGACTGATGCCGATTTATAGTGCTAGCTCACGGAGATACCATGCCGCAGTTTAACATGAATACCCCACTCAGACACAGTATACTGACTCCGAGCCGACCAGTCCCTGTTTTAGCCCCTTAATGACGAGCGCCAGACAGGGTAACAACAACTACCATCTTTTAACGAGCATCGTTCCACGCAATTGGTATGCGATGACATGCATCAACCAAGTCAGCGAGCCTGACCACTCGATCCCGTTAGTCGCCTCTAACAACAAGCATAGTCGCCTATTACTTTAAGCATAGGTTACTGAAGATCTATTCTAACCTGGATCTACACGGGTATCCTTCTCCAACTACAACTACTATAACCACTAGTATAACCACTACTACAACTACTACTTCTATAATTTTCAGCCACACGGCTCTGAACAGTATTTTATTAATGTCACGATGTGTCTGCTTATCGTGGGAGGAAAGAAGAATGACTGATCATCTTCACTACCGCAATGTGAAGACATGCACTTCCATACGTTACCTCCTGTCCTGTCAAGAAGAGAAGAATGTCTCCGTCTCCCTCCTCACACATGTGGATCTGTACGACAGTCCTGATGGCGGCCTCCAGGTAGTCACGCTCTGGCTCGGGTGTGTAGAAGATCTCCACAGGATGTGTACGACCAGGGACACTCATCAGTGGGGCCTTGTCAAAATAGTGCTGGAACACACATGTGGGAGGTAGAGTCAAGTATAGTGCTCAATTAGTGAGTTGGGTTAAAAGCCGCTTTTAACAGTATTCCAGTTATATCACCATTTGTCAGCTCAACATGAGAGGAAAGCCCAAAGTGATGCAGGTTTTAGACATTTAACACTTTGGTGAAACCCACGAGCACAGGTATGGCTCTGACAAACTTAGAAAAATCATCTGGGCTGACCAGGATTCAAACCCACAATCATAGGTTTCTGGTGTGCCCAAGGGAGGCAACTCTGAACAGCGAATTGTGGCGCTTAAGACGACTGGGCCACCCATGCTCATTAATCTCACTCACTCACTCACTCACTCACACACACACACACACACACACACACACACACACACACACACACACACACACACACACACACACACACACACACACACACACACACACACACACACACACACACACACACACACACACACACACACACACACACACACACACACACACAGGGAACAAACATTCCTGATTGTAAGTCCATAGCAATTTCTTCATGTTGAGATTCAGAGTTCAAAATCATGTTTGTTGGTTTGTTGTGGAATGCCACACTCAGCAATGTTCTATCTCATGACAGTGTGCTTGAAATAATCCCCAATATCGACAAGCAAAGATTGCTGGGGGCCCTATTCTAACCCAGAAACCCCATTAGAAAAGATCATGTGGACAGCAAAACAAATTGTTTCAAAGAAAGATACATAATCATGAAAAATGCTAACCCCAACTATCTACTGATGGCAGTCACACATATTGACCATTAACAACTGTATCTACAAGTTTTAGTATCATCAGGTCATAACAGAGGCTAGCAATGAATAAACAATGGGACAATATCAGCTGCTTGCAATTGTCCAGACTAGTGCCGATGCTAGCCCACTGAGATACCATACCGCAGTGTAACACACTATACTGACTCCGAGCCAATCAGTCCTCATTTTGTCCCCTTAATGGCAGGTTAACAACAAGTACCAACTTTTAACATCTTTTGGTAAGACGCTGTCAGGGGATCGAAATCAACGACCTTCCTCTCTCCGGGCAGACGCTCTATCCACTGGGCCACAGTGGTGGTATTACAGTATCATTAAAGTATCTCACATACAATCCATTACTAAACATATTATCATTGGTTGGTTGGTTGGTTTGTATGTTGTTTAACGCCGCACTCAGCAATATTCCAGCTATATGACTGCGGTCTGTAAATAATAGAGTCTGGACCAGACAATCCAGTGATTGATATCATGAGCATCGATCCACGCAATTGAGATCGATGACATGCATCAACCAAGTCAGCAAGCCTGACCACCCGATCCCTTTAGTCGCCTTTTACGACAAGCATAGTTGCCTTTTACGGCAAGCATGGGTTGCTGAAGATCTATTCTACCCTGGATCTTCACGGGTCAAACATATTATCAACATGACATGAGATGTACCTGGAATTTGCCGGCATCGAGGGTAGCGCTCATGACAACAATCTTGAGATCCGATCGCTGTTTGGCGACCTCCTTTAACAGGCCCATGAGGATGTCAGTCGCAAGGGTACGCTCGTGAGCTTCATCCAACATGATGACTCCATAAGCTTCAAGTAGGGGGTCCGACATGGCCTCTCTCAGTAACATACCATCTGTCATGTACCTAGACACAGCAACGGAAAACATAAACACAGGGACAGGGACAGCTACTACAAATACACCGACTTCTCAGAGGTGGATTTTACAAAGGGATTGCTGAAACAAAGTAGATGGCCCGTCTGGCTAGCCAAAATTTCACCCCTTCTCTGTGTATATTTAATTGGTTTTAATTGGATCAACTCGGTACAATAACAACCGACTGCCATTTTGAAATGTTGCGTACAACAACTTCTTTATTCCCTAATAAATCGCCATGAAATGAGGCAAATGAAAGCCAATATTTAATCTCAGAGTGCAGGAAAACACGTTTTACAGGTGAGGAGTTCTAAAATTTTAAGAGCCCGGCTTGGTGGCTACGTGACTTCAGGTTCGGCCACTTCACGACCTCCACCATTTAGTTGTAGGCCAGTTATTTTGGAGAAGGGCCAGTAACTCTTAAAAGGAACAAGCCCTGATTGCTACATATAATTTGTTGTTATATCTACCCCTGCTCCTACCACAAACCACTACACTTCATCACTATCACACAGATGACTAGATCACTTGCCCACATATATGTTATAACTTCAAATATCTTTTTAGTATCATTGACAAAACTAAATAAGTTGAGTTCAGTTGCAAGTAACAAGTTGGAGGAAATGGGTGATTTTATGCCATTTTTTGCCAGATTTATCAACCACACAATGAAGACTTCACATACTGTTGTGGCCAACATAAGTATTAAGTACTATAGCCACAACCATATCTGGATCTGTACTGATTTGAAACAGAGTTGGGTGAACATCCGCCAAAAAGTGTCCCACTTTAGTACCTTGTGTTCTCAGAAACTATGAGTCTAACTAATGACTAGCAAAGATTTTGACAGGAAAATGAGTGTACAATTATCTGAGAACCCAAACAGGAAATGCAGACACTTCAAAAGAGATGAATTTATATTTCGGATAAGATTGAAATGAAGCCCTAAAAACTAAACATAGCTCATAAAATATTTTGGTAAAACAGTACTTACTTCATGACTGTTTTAGATGAGGTGCAATCCTCAAAACGGATGTTGTATCCCACTTCCTGCCCCAGGCCGACATCCATCTCCTCTGACACACGCTGAGCCACCGACATGGCCGCCACCCTTCTAGGCTGTGTACACGCAACAGCCTTCTTGGCAAACCGAGCTCGCACCCACTCAAGGCACCATTGGGGGATCTACACAAACAGGAAGTAAATAAATCAGAATTACATTCACCTGGGGTTTGAATAAGAATTGGCTCAAGTTACAAAAGAAAAGGTGCTACTATTTGAAATGAAGGCTGTTCATAAATGAAATACTGATTATTTTTTATATCAACCTGAAGGCATGCATCTTACATGTTGACGTTACACTTCAGTTCAAACACTCATGGCACTTTTCAAGCTCATGTACATCATTTTTAGAGCTACTTTTCAATAGGGTTGGGTATTGGAGGTTTAAAGTGTATCACAATATTTTACGATACACAAGGCCGTATTGCAATACATTTCACAACATATTGCATAATTCTAAATTTTGAATTCAGAAGCAATCTGAAACACTGGTGTACGAATTGAAGTTCATAAACAGAACAAAACAAGATGCTGGTACAACATGTTTACACATTCAATAAATAGGCACGGATGCACACTCCGGGTATTTGACAAGTGTAGAACATTAAACACATGATAAAAATCGCTATATGAAAACAGCCGCTATACCAAGCATTAAAAATTATACTGGATACGAATCATGGGATGTGAACCTCAAATTACCTATATACCAGTAATACTAACTCCCTTACATTTCAAGCTTAATGCCTGTATAGTAAGGTCACAGTTATGAGCTGGGTTTAACACCTTTCAACATTATGTCATTAACATCAGCTGTGTTATGTCAGCTGAACGTTCAAGGAAAGCCCAAAGTGATAAATGTGGTACTGGTAGACATTTCAGGGACATATCTAATATTCCAAACTAAATGCCCTTGACAGGAAAACAGGGGGTAAAATCAGGGAGTTCCCCATATACCTAAATTCAGACGTATCATAACCTTGAATTTTATTATTTCATTCAATGCAAAAAAACTAAACTAAGCATTACACCCTCTTCATCTATACAGTGTTAGTAAAATACAACTTACTTCTACAAAAGCAAAACATTATGAACAACCATAACCCCCGAGTTGGGAAAGGTTTAATTTCAATTTGGGAATTTTACTGACATTTGCTGCAGACTTAGGGCCAAAAATCGGACCCTGGGCAGGTCTAAGAAAATACCTGCATTTACCACTTTAGACAAAACTAAAATCTTGTGTAAGGCGTACTAAGCATCAAAATAATTGAGAATCAGGAATTCAAACCAACAATTAGCAAATCCCAAGATGGAGTTATGGCACCTTTTCGGCTACACTGCCTGTGTGATACAGTGCTGAGTTACCGATGAATAAGGCTACAGTGCCTGTGTGATACAGTGCTGAGTAACCGATGAGTAAGGCTACACTAACTGTGTAATACAGTGCTGAGTTACCAATGAGTAAGGCTACACTAACTGTGTAATACAGTGCTGTGTAACCGATGAGAAAGGCTACAGTACCTGTGTAATACAGTGCTGAGTTACCGATGAATAAGGCTACAGTGCCTGTGTGATACAGTGCTGAGTTACCGATGAGTAAGGCTTCACTACCTGTGTAATACAGTGCTGAGTTACCGATGAGTAAGGCTTCACTACCTGTGTAATACAGTGCTGAGTTACCGATGAGTAAGGCTACACTAACTGTGTAATACAGTGCTGAGTAACCGATGAGTAAGGCTACAGTACCTGTGTAATACAGTGCTGAGTTACAGATGAATAAGGCTACAGTGCCTGTGTGATACAGTACAGAGTTAGCGATGAGTAAGGCTACACTACCTGTGTAATACAGTGCTGAGTTACCGATGAGTAAGGCTTCACTACCTGTGTAATACAGTGCTGAGTTACCGATGAGTAAGGCTTCACTACCTGTGTAATACAGTGCTGAGTTACCGATGAGTAAGGCTACACTAACTGTGTAATACAGTGCTGAGTAACCGATGAGTAAGGCTACAGTACCTGTGTAATACAGTGCTGAGTTACCGATGAATAAGGCTACAGTGCCTGTGTGATACAGTACAGAGTTAGCGATGAGTAAGGCTACACTACCTGTGTAATACAGTACAGAGTTAGCGATGAGTAAGGCTTCACTACCTGTGTAATACAGTGCTGAGTTAGCGATGAGTAAGGCTACACTGCCTGTGTGATACAGTGCTGAGTTACCGATGAGTAAGGCTACACTTACTGTGTAATACAGTGCTGAGTAACCGATGAGTAAGGCTACACTAACTGTGTAATACAGTGCTGAGTAACCGATGAATAAGGCTACAGTGCCTGTGTGATACAGTACAGAGTTAGCGATGAGTAAGGCTACACTACCTGTGTAATACAGTACAGAGTTAGCGATGAGTAAGGCTTCACTACCTGTGTAATACAGTGCTGAGTTAGCGATGAGTAAGGCTACACTAACTGTGTAATACAGTGCTGAGTTACCGATGAGTAAGGCTACACTAACTGTGTAATACAGTGCTGAGTAACCGATGAGTAAGGCTACAGTACCTGTGTAATACAGTGCTGAGTTACCGATGAATAAGGCTACAGTGCCTGTGTGATACAGTACAGAGTTAGCGATGAGTAAGGCTACACTACCTGTGTAATACAGTACAGAGTTAGCGATGAGTAAGGCTTCACTACCTGTGTAATACAGTGCTGAGTTACCAGTGAGTAAGGCTACACTACCTGTGTAATACAGTACAGAGTTAGCGATGAGTAAGGCTACAGAACCTGTGTAATACAGTGCTGAGTTACCGATGAGTAAGGCTACACTACCTGTGTAATACAGTACAGAGTTAGCGATGAGTAAGGCTACACTACCTGTGTAATACAATGCTGAGTTACCGATGAGTAAGGCTACACTACCTGTGTAATACAGTACAGAGTTAGCGATGAGTAAGGCTACAGAACCTGTGTAATACAATGCTGAGTTACCGATGAGTAAGGCTACACTACCTGTGTAATACAGTGCTGAGTTACTGATGAATAAGGCTACACTGCCTGTGTGATATAGTACAGAGTTACCGATGAATAAGGCTACACTGTCTGTGTAATACAGTACAGAGTTACCGATGAGTAAGGCTACACTACCTGTGTAATACAGTCCAGAGTTACCGATGAGTAAGGCTACAGTACCTGTGTGGTCTTGCCAGAGCCAGTTTCTCCCACCAGGACAATGGTCTGGTATTTGGTCATCATCTCCATGAATTTTTCCTTGTACTCCCAGACTGGCAGCGTCATCCGCTTGTTGAGCAGCTGGTAGTAGCGGGGGGAGTAGGGCATCCCTGGAACCAGACACATCAGTGAGTGATTCATTTGTTTGATTGTTTGTTTGTTGTTTAACGCTGCACTTAGCAATATTCCAGCTATATGACAGCAGTCTGTAAATAATCTAGACAATTGATAACATGAGCATCGATCCACGTAATGGGGTTACGATGACATTCATCAACTAAGTCAGCGAGCCTGACCACCCGATCCCATTACAGACGCCTCCTACGACAAGCATAGTTGCCTTATACCATGTATACGGCAAGCATGAGTTGCTGAAGACCGATTTTACCCTGGATCTTCATGGTTAGTGAGTGAGTCAACATTAATAGTGTTCCCACACAGGATAGGTGTAACAATACACTGAGGTCGCAATACAATATGTATCCTGACACTATGGATGCGATACGTTTGTTTTGTTTGTTTTTTGTTTAACGCCGCACTCGGCAATATTCCAGCTATATGACGGCGATCTGTAAAAATCAAGTCTGGACCAGACAATCCAGTGATTGATATCATGAGCATCGATCCACGCATCAACCAAGTCAGCGAGCCTGACCCCCCGATCCCATTAGTCGCCTCTTTACGGATGTGATACGATGCATACTCTGATACAGTACTTCTATTTCATGAGTTGATATTCTCTCTTTTCCAGATGAATCACAACCCTGAATCATATGGGTTTTTTATTTCAGAGATCAAAATGGTATATTGTAGGGAGAGGGAGAGAGGGCGAGGGGGGAGAGGGAGAGGGAGAGGGAGAGGGAGAGGGAGAGAGAGAGAGAGAGAGAGAGAGATTTCACACTGCTTTTAGCAATATTCCGGCAATATCATGCCTGGGAACACCAGAAATGGGCTTCACACATGGGAAACCGAACCCGGGCCTTCAGCATCAGTGAATGCTTAGCCACTAGGCTACCCCACCACTGAAACTGAGTGAGTGAATCCTAGTCTTGTAATGGAGAAGCGGCTGCTGCTGGGCTCCACAAGCCTTGATTACCTGTGAAGGGATTCATCTGCAGCGTGGGTCTCGGGATGTTGAACTGCTCAAATATGGACTTGGGCTTGTCCTTGTCCTTATCTCTGTCCCGATCCCGATCCCGGTCCCGGTCTTTGTCTCGGTCGTCATCTCTGCAAAAAGAATCAAAACCAATTTCAACATAATAACAAAGCACATTAATTATATAGTTGACACATGTCTAATTATTTCTTTTTCACCAGCCTGGACAGCCAAGACATGGTTCTAGATAAAAAAATCAGGACTGCCAAGATCAATCGGGGATAGAAACTGTAAATATTACAATAAATTGTATATTAATATTACAATACTCGTCCTATCTCACACTATGCATTTCTTCTTTCTTCTTTTGATCCTATGTGGAAACATGCTTGAACAAAGTTTCCAGGTTCTAATAAACAATCTACCCAAACACATCCCTGCATGACCATGGTTACGACCCAAACAAATGAAAACAATAATATACCCTGAAGTTCCAGGATTTATTCAGTACATATATGGAGCAGGTACACGCATCTACTATCTGCGCTGTGTAGTCGTCAACTGAAGTGCCAGGACCAAGGGGCCGAATTGGTGAAGACTCTGGACGTCAGTAACAGAGATATCATGGAGGTAGTGGGAAGCGAATTCCGCATCAGACTTCCAGAAGCAGCCTTCCATAATGGCGGAGAGAGAGCAGTTGCCATGTAGGCCCATGGTAGAAGTGATTGCTTGGGTCTCAAGAGGATTGCATGTGACAGGCTGAAACAATCCTTGAAGAATTTAGGCCCGTAGAATGGTCGTGCTAAGCCAAAATGTAAGTAAGGGAAACTTCTGTTGTGGTCGCCATAGAATGAAGAGTCTCTTTCGGAAACGACAAAGTGGTCACACAGCCTCAAGGTAGACCCAAAGCGCTCGAATCAGACATAAAGAGATGTCCTCATGGTCAGCAGGGCTCAGGATAGATGCCAGCGATGGGACGGTAAACAAATCATCTGGTTGGCCCGGAAGCTGATTTTTGTGATAAAATCCCATCAGTCCCAGAAAAACTTTCCATTCTGGACCCTGTTAACATCCATAGTATGGATTTTGCTAACTCATGCAGAAGTCACACGGGCCAGAAGGAAAATGGTCTTGAAGGTGATCAACTGAAAAGGCTTGTAAGCAAGCGGTTCATATTCTGCTGAAGTCAATGGTGAAGGATGACGAGATGACTGGTCCGCCAAATTGTAGGTGAGTGAGTGAGTATGGTTTTAAGCCGCTTTTAGTAATATTCCAGCAATATCACAGGACACCAGAAATGGGCTTCACACATTGTACCCATGTCGGGAATCGAACCCGGGTCTTCAGCGTGACGAGCGAACGCTTTAACCACTAGGCTACCCGACCGACCCCCAACTCGTAGGACCAAATGAGGCCTGAAGCTCAGCAACTGTAGATATCTTTGATCCAGGTGTAGTAGCAATGACTGAGTTGATCGCAGCAAGATCAGTAGCTAAAGTAGACCCTAGATCTACTTTTAAATCGTAAATGATGGAGATTTACATTAAAGAACTCTTCCGTGAGGTGTTCGCATTCTGAGCAGCATTTGTCCAAACTACACCAGCCACGGCAATCACAACAAAGTTTGTGAGGTCAGAGGTGGAAATATTAAGGCAACATTTCCGACAGCCTGGGCAAACAGGACTGTCCTTGTCCATTATCCCTCAGATTATGTACGTCATCTAGATGATGTTGAAGGGAATCTCCACACAAAAAACAACTAGATTCTCTTAAATCTCAAGGCTCCATTATGAGGCGAAGAGACAGAGAATGATGTGGCAGAAGCAATCATTTGATCACATCGTGTAGGTCGCTATGCACTGGATTATTGTGTGTGACCCATTTATTTTGGTGTTAACAATGGTGATGCTGGAATGCCTTTTGGAATGTAAATGTGCCAAATAGAAAAAGTTTGATCCATCTGCTAACTTTGTGAATGTCATTTCAGTAAGGCTAGATAATAATAAGTCATATTTCAGAAACGCTGCTCCCTTTCTCTTCATTGCGATTCATAATACACAATGTTAATTTGTGCATTATACTGTGCATGTTTGTAATTTTTTCAAGTGTTTGTCATGTTTACTTGTTCAAAAGTACACTTATCACTGGCTTCATTTCACATTCATTGTCACAAGGTACTGAAGTTTAAAAAACATAATTTTAAGTGGGCCCTTCAGGCACTGGGAACATAGTTTAACCATGCCATTGTCAGTATAATGCAAGGAATAATAAAATAAATTATTTGAAAGATTGTCCTTACAATCAATAATGTTACTCACTGTATACATGGTATAGTTAACATGGAATAACATGTAAATCAACCATAGCAGTTCCCATTAACCATGTTAACAGCTATTATGAAATTGCTGGTTGTGAACCAGACTTTGTCAAGAAGTAGTATTACTTTAGAAAGTCTATCTCCTTCAGTTTCATTGAGATTGATAACAATCACAGGTTTCTTTGGTGAATTATTCTGTACACAAAGAGTCAGAGTGTTCATAAAAATGATTAATTTTCATTTGTTTGTCCCACATAAATGAAGATCTGTGGTAGAACAGGTCTTCAGCAACACATGCTTGCCGTAAAAGGCGACTATGTTTGTCGTAAGAGGCACTAACAGGATTGGGTGGTTATGCTCGCTGACTTGGTTGATAAATGTCATTGTATCCCAATTGCGTGGATCGATGCTCATGATGTCAATCACTGGATTGTCTGGTCCAGACTCGATTATTTACAGACCGCCGTCATATAGCTGGAATATTTCTGAGTGCAGCGTTAAACAACAAAAGAACAAATTCAGCGACAGTTTCTAATAAACATTGTCAAAAGGTATTAAATAAATCTGATTTCAACAGTTTGCCCTGTAGGCACAAAACAACTTACTTTAGCCATGATTAAAACTGCCGTAAGAAGTTATAACCGTTTCTGCTGTCAAAAACATCTACCATACGATTAAGATCACTTTCAATAGTTCTTGGTGTTATTAGCTACGATTACTAAAACAAAACATGACTAAGCCCGTCTGTGGCTATTCCAACTTAATCCAAGTCTAGTAAAATCCTGTTCAGTCAACTAGGCAACAATGCAGTTTACCAGGCGCAGCCGAGCTCTACCATCCGCTCAATTACCGCGCTATAGTGCCACCGCTGTCTCGTTATACCGTTACCGTCCCTCACACTCTGGTGACTCTTGCTTCACGTTCTCGGTCTTAGGGAAACTTACACATCTTTACGATCAAACACCCGTTCTCAGTCTTAGGGAAACTTACACGTCTTTTCGAATCAACACCCGTTTTCGGTCTTAGGGAAACTTACACCCCTTTTTGGTCCTTAGGGTTAGCTTGCTTTGGGCAAGGCTTAGCCATCAAATCCTATTCAAGCGTTAATCCAGTTAATCCCATTGGTCTGTCATGTTGACATAAACAATGGCGGGTGTGGTTTCAAGAAAAGATGAATGGGAGAGCGGACCGTGACGTCACACGCATGCGCAATTCATTGTTTACTGAATTACGCATGCATGTTAATGGGGATTCTAATGACCCGTAAAACAAGCCCTTATTACATGTGATAGCGCCTGTGGTAGAGTGTCGGCTAATTAACGCATTAATTAGCAGAGACGGTGAAGCGTGTTCGAGCCCCCACATCGCTAATTGGATCTGAAAAAGTGCGCCCGGTACAGTGCACTACTCCCGTCAACTAATAATAGTCCACATAATAACATAAAATCTACTGAAAGTGATACCAAGAGTCAAGTTCAGACTAGTAGTAGACTCCAAAGTTTTCAACACAAACGCTGAACTTGAATGTCTAGAATCTTCCTAAAATCTAGAATTCCAGATAATGAGGGAAAGTGTAATAATAATCTGCCTTTTCTTTAACATGTTTAATATTGTCCACTACTTCACTATTAACAAAAAACATCCCCATGTGAAACGTAGTAGACAGACTACCAAAGCGACGAAGATTCTGGGAATTTTTTTAAACCTCACCCGAAAGTGTAGTGGCACTTCATGTGATTAAATATCAAGAAGATCTAGATCTAGATCTAGGTATGCTGTTGATAGAGATCTAAAACCTGATTAATGTATGACAAGGCCATGACTACAAAACGCATTTTGAAACATAATGGCATAAATCTATAGCTATGCCGGCTACAAAGGTAGGATCACATGTATGCGATTCTGAATCGTCTGATCACGCATGTTGATCCATTTATATAATTTGAAATACCGACTTCGTCTCACGCATCAAAATGACAACGACATCGTTCCAACTATTTGGAAATATATAATAACCTGTTCCTTTTGCCGTGAGAATCGCCCACATCAATACGATGCCTCTTCGACATGTTGAAAGTCTCAAAATGGCGTAAACCAGAGTTCACCACAGTTTATGATATACGATAACAACGTTAACACGACGTTCAATAGAATACTATGGTAGCCTCTCCAGTTATTTCAGACTCGGGTAAGGACAGGTGCCCGTATGAACACATGGCGGACATATAGCTCCAAACAGCGATATCGGCATCCTTAATGCAGTGAGCTGACAGAAGAAGAAATACTGCATGCGCTGTACTAGAGTTACTATGTGCCTTTCCGAAGTTGTATTTTCAAAACAACTAAATACGTTTTGGAAAAAAGTGTTGTATATTAATACCTGACATTTTGGTAGAAGCACACAGGTTTCGAAGAAATTAATTCATAATTAAGAAAATGTATTACTTAAATATTGGCGGAGAAAACTACAACTGTCTTAATCAATAAGTTCTTACCCACAGATACTCCTATTAGTTTGTCGCGAGGTAAACGAGTTGGTGCAAACACATGGTAGTGTGTACAGAATCTACAATTATGTCAGACGACGATGTTGATTCGGAATTTCTTGGCTTTCACGAAATGGGACTTGATGATCGCCTTTTGAAAGTAAGGAAATTGAAGTGAATACATAGCTAAATACACTGAACACTGTTAAAGACTGGCATGGAAGGAGGAGCTGATAATATTATATTTTTATTCTACACCTTTAATAAAGACGTCTGTAAATAGTAGTAATGTCCATGTGACCATCTTCGGATTTCTGACCTGGCTAAACGGATGTGTGTCAATTCATCCAGATGTTGTGGATCGTTGCTCACACCATCAACCACTGGCTTGTCTTGTCAGGACTTGGTTACCATGCAGTAGGGCTGGGACGGGTAACTCAGGTCGGGTGGGACCTGAGTAGGATCCCGGTACCCACAGGACTACCCGGACCCGTCATTAGTCACATGATTTATTGTTTAATGACAAAAACTTACAATAGCACACGCCGTGATATTGCTGGAATATTGCTAAAAGCGGCGTAAAATCAAACTCACTCACTCACTACAATAGCACAGTGGTTACACTACAAGTCGTTAATATTCGCATTTCTTTCTGATGATACACACATTCCTTTTGACTTGTTTATGTCTAAAAATAAAACTTCAGTGTATGCATGATCTGATCGTTTGATACATGTTTATCTAAATAGTTTTGGCCAGGGCTGCGGTAAAACAATTCCCAATCAGACATTTTGTTCCTAATTCTTGAGATCTACAGTGGGTACCTGGGTAGGGTCAGTTAATAGGGAGTCAGGTTTGCAGGGTGCTTTATATTCTCCCATTTTCTCCCATCCAGAATTCTTCTACTTCTGTATTTTTTCTGGACAGTCACATGATTAGGATTCATTTCAAGGATACAGTCATCAATCTTTGGTTTGCAACAAACATCACAAAGTTCCACCCAAATGTCATGCTCTATGCTATGGGAACTCTAGCCTGGTCAGGAACATGAAACATTATGAAGAGGGAAACACATAATTGATCAGTTGTTAATTGAACACTTGTTTCTCAAACACTATAGTATCAATATAATGGGGAAATATTTCAACCCATAACTCCTTAACATTTTGCCTGGGTTAGGGCAATGTAACTATAAATGATATTTTAATTAAAAATTCTAGACAAGGATTTTGAATTCTTATTACTCATTTCAAGGAAGGGGTTACTTGCAGAACCTTTACCCATTTTCAATGATACAGAATTACTGATTACGCACATATTAAGTGTTTATGAAATATCTTTATTGCTGCAAAGTTTCACACTTTTCATTATTTTAATGATTAGTTTATTTAACAATGTTTAACTACCAGCCCATACAACTTATTACTAGTCTTTAGTGACGTTGAAACTGTCATTTCAAGATGTTTGACGTAACTTTGTTATTTCAGGCAATCTCTAAGTCAGGCTGGAGAAAACCAACCCCAATTCAAGAGAAAGCCATTCCTCTGGCATTGGAGGGAAAGGATGTACTTGCTCGTGCTCGCACAGGCTCAGGCAAGACTGCCGCATTCTGTATTCCTGTCATACAAAAAATACTGGCAGCAAAGCAGGTGAGAGAAATTATTACTTATGGTTGTCAACATATTTTCATATGGTTTTTTTTGCAAACAGAACAAGGATAGTTAAACATGTTAAAAAACACTAAAAGCAAAACAATCAAAATGGAAACTTTCATGGGTTTACTTTTTGATGCTCCAATATTTAATACACATGTATTATTGTGATGACTAGGTATGAAATAAGGATATATCTGTACACTATGTACACAAATGCAGGAGTTATTGTTACATGATATTCTGCCCAGTTTTTTTTGTTAAAATGCCTTGTTAAAAAGCATTGAGAAAATGCAAGAGAATACAACAGTAGCGCACACAAAACATATCAGTAATGAGTGTATATATCTTACTTTGTTAAGATCAGTAACAAATATAACAAATATAGCCGCTGCTATCATGTCATCATGTTTCCAATACGTATATGGGATCGATATCAGCTTGTAACAAGACAGCAACTTTGTATTACTAGTGACCATATACTGATTCAGTTTATCCAGTTTAGTGTCCCTAGTATTGCAATGTCAGGCAATACAATGTTATAGGCAATACTACCAGTCATCCCTCGTGTGGAGTTCTTGAAGGCTTCCATGGTGTTTTATTCTAGAGACTCCTGAATCTTTCAGTTTTAACATTAAGGTTATGACAAGCACCCCTTGACTTTCATGCTTAATTTCATATACTGGCCACGCGTTTAGTAACTGCCCAGGGTTGTTATAATTCTCGATGAATCACTAGAGCTGATGGCTTTTGTTTTTACAGTTTTAAAGGGCAAGTAAAGTCAGCATAGCAACTTTGCTGATTTTATACTTTAGAGCATACTTAATTGCAAATGCTTGACCATAGTTAAATTTTAAAGTCAGAAATAATGTTAATAAGACCCCCCCGCCCCAAAAGGCACACAACCCGACCATCATTAACTCCAAAGACTTTGTCACGAAGCACAACTATATGTCTCTGAGCATTGGGACAGCGCCACAAATCATCTGGAGGGGTGGCATCCAAATATTATAACAACAATAAGCGAAAATAAAAGACAATATATATATATATATATATCTCAAGAGTATTTCTAGGCAACCAGTATTTAAACTTTGTCAAAGAGGATCTTCCAGTAAGTAAGAGAATGTTCTTTTGTGTCGACATCCTTCACACTGGATGTCTTTGGCTTTGTTGTTGTAACAACATACCTGGTTGATGATGTTAGTAATTGTGCAGCTGTACATTTGCTGGTATTTAGCTGTCGTCCTTGGTTAATTCACCTAAGAGAATTGACTTAACAATATCTACCATTATGTGATACATTTGCGTAAAATAAGGCATTTATTAAGAGAAATGTTTTTCAAGAGTGTTATGGCAAAACAAGACATTCATTAAGAGATCATAAGGCTAGAAAATATCTATTGAACGCAAGGCTGCCAAGCATCACAAGTCAGCCAACATATCAGCCAATGAAAGCATTTGTCACACGTCCCTGCACCATCACTTTAGACCACACCCCCAAATAATTTTGGTTTGGAATCTGATTACAGACCATGTGATTTCACAACTTTCACTGGGCCATCTGAATACTTTCCATGATATTTCTTCTCTGGGAAATTGACTTAATACACCTAGGACAATTAATAAACCCAACAAAATCGAAATAATTTATTTCACTTTCAGGGGAAAAGTGTCATCATGACCAACACAGTCCCATTGGCTTATTTTATTTTAAATCTCTGAGTTATACTTATTAATGAGCTCACTATGCTTGTATGTCCACTGCATCGGCTGTAACCTGGAATGTCATCCTTTCCTGTTATGAACATGTTTTGGTTGATTTCCAAGCCTCATCATTCCAATGTTTAAACGGGGCGGTCGGGTAGCCTAGTGGTTAAAGCGTTCGCTCATCACGCCGAAGACCCGGGTTCGATTCCCGACATGGGTACAATGTGTGAAGCCCATTTCTGGTGTCCCCCGCCGTGATATTGCTGGAATATTTCTAAAAGCGGCGTAATATCAAATTCACTCACACTCACTCCAATGTTTAAAGCTCATCTAGGTTCCCCTACAGTCTGTGTAGTTACAACTGTTTGAGTGTAATCCTCATTGGTGATGTGCTTTTCCTGCAGTCGGCCACGGAGCAGTGTGTCCGTGCTGTAGTCCTGACTCCATCGAAGGAGCTGTGTAATCAAGCATTCAGAAACATCAAGGTAAGTGTCATAGGTCGTCTAGTGGGTCAGGTGGATGTTTCAACCCCAGTATTGTTACAATGTGCAGAGACAAGTTTTGGTGTCCACTACACTATGTTATGGCTGAAATACTGCCAAAAGGGGCATAAACCTACCTCACTCACTCGATCACTCACTCGATCACTCACTCACTCGATCACTCACTCGATCACTCACTCACTCACTCACTCACTCACTCACTCACTCACTCACTCACTCAGGGTTCGATTTCCCACATGGTTACAATGTGTGAAGCCCATTTCTGGTGTCCCCTGCCGTGATATTGCTGGAATATTGCTAAAAGCAGTGAGCAGTCTCACTCACTCACTCACTCACTCATTCACTCACTCACTCACTCACTCACTCACTCACTCACTCACTCACTCACTCACTCACTCACTCACTCACTCACTCACTCACCCACTCACCAACTCAACCACTCAACCACTCACTCAACCACTCACTCAACCACTCACTCAACCACTCACAAATGTACGTCTTAGTGAATCTTTGAAGAATTTCGTCAAATGAATACATGAAGAACATTTGGAGTTTCTTGTGACTGAAAGACCAAAGTGACCTTTGTCTTATAAGTACACACAGAATTGGTAAATTATGTACTATTCCAGATCAGTGACACAAGTATTGTTGATTTTCACAGAGATTAGATTTTTTGTTAACTGACACTGGAACAAGTAATGGAGCAGTTCAAAAGTTTGGATAATAAGCTTTTCGAACATCAATTACAAGCTACTAAAAGTTTAAATGTAAAATATAATATCCTAAATGCCAAATGTTTATTGTTTACCTATTTGTGGCGCTAGGACTTGACGAGCAGTTGCTCTCGGGAGGTGAGATGTGTCGACATCTCGCAACCAAACCCGCTGCCCTCGCAAAGGTGAGATCTTCATATATATATATATTTATATGATGTCTTTATTTTGTTTGTTGTTAAATGTCGCATTCCAGCTAGATGGTGGTCTGTAAATATTCAAGTCTGGACCAGATCTACGTAATAAATGACATGCATTAACTAAGTCAGCGAGCCTGACCACGCGTTCCCATTAGTCGCCTCTTACAACAAGCAGGCTTGCTGAAGACCAATGTTTTGTTAGGTCTCCGGACTCGAGACTGGGATAAGCTTCTTAGCATGACAAGTGTCAAGTCATCAAGTAGCATCTATCACGAGATAGGTTATGATGTGTGTCATCATATTGTAGCAGTAATGATAATCCCAGTATGTCTGCATCAAGATCAGATGTTTGTTGGTTAAGTGTTGATGGAGAATGTTCGTTGTAGGCCAATGTTGATGGAGAAGCCAGACATCGTCGTGGGAACACCAAGTCGGGTGCTGGCGCACATAGAAGCAGGCAACCTGTGTCTGCGTGACTCACTCGAGATGGTCATCATAGACGAGGCAGATCTGGTGTTTTCATTTGGATATGAACTTGACATCAAAAGACTCTTGGAGTAAGACTTCGTCCTCACATTGTTGGAATTGTATATTGGTCATGACTTTCAAAACTAAGATTTTCCAAAAACAATTCAGGGTGGAATTAAAGATATAAGATTCTGTGAAAACATTTATTTAACTTAACACAAACATTTCTCTTTTCTTTTTTATACTTTTTTCAAAATATTAAATTATTTCACAGTTTCATTTTCATATCTCCGCTTTTTGGTCGTCGTTACTCTGAAATCTAAGAGAGTCACAAAAAGTCTGATTACAGTTCTCGGATTGCTTTATATAACATATCTGGTTCTAGTATGACTTAACAATAAAGCAATGTCATTCAGATCAGATCTTTTAATCTGATATGATATCTCTCTGCGTGAAGATCTGAAGACACCTCCGTGAGAGGTCATGCCAGGAGAGCTTTCACTTCGGCCAATCAGTGGCAAGGCCTCTTGATACTGGGGCGTATGAGCGAACCAGTCGGACCTGCATATCTGATTTCTGTGTCTCAAAAACAAAGTTCTATGGTCTGTTCCGACTGTAAATAATATAGGTAGTGCATCATATTGTTATGGATATTTTAGACACCAGTCGTTTCTGAGCCACACATGAGTAATGGTAGGAATGTTTGTGTTCTGTGCGGGCTTTATTTCGTTATAATCGAAAATTTCGTAACAGAGGTGGGAAATGAACAAAGCCAAATCATTTTAGAAAGCGAAGATGTGATTGGCTCAACCCAGCCACTCTTTATTTTGATTGGACGGTCAAACTTCACCAAAGGTTCACCTGATGAAACCTCCTTGAAGGTGTCCTCGGATATTCACTGAGTGAGGTATCAGAGTAAAAGATGTGGTGCTATTATGTGGAGGTGTGTGTGTTACCTGCTGAAGCTGTAGGTAATCTAAGTCGGTTTTAATTAAAGCAAATAACATTATTTTAAAGAAACAAATTATTGTGTACCTGCAGACACCTGCCCAAGATCTACCAAGCATTCCTGATGTCTGCCACCCTGACAGAAGACGTGAAGGCTCTCAAGAAGATGGTGCTCCACAACGCTGTTAGTACTTCGAATTTGTCTTCAGTGATGTAGAAAGTTTGACTTGATCATGTGTTTTATTCATGGGATGCAGAACTGAGGGCTTGTGATTTTGGTGTCTTAATAAGTTTGGGATGAGGAGATAGGTATTTGAATGCAGCTTATGTGGTGCTTGATGGGTGGTCCAACACCAACATTTCCTGAGGGAGAAACGGTATCACCAGTGTCACAGATAGAAGACTGACAAAACTTGTCCTGCCTACCACGCTCACTCATTCGTTGGTGTCATGGGTGGAACAGCTGTCGAGAGTGCTGCAACTTATTGTGGCAGAAACTTACAATCGTGGGTTCAAATCTCAAATTGTTCCTGATTGGCTCTTGTTTTGTCATGGGTTCAAATCAAGCTAAAACGCAGTGATATAACTGAAATACTGTTCAACTCACTCTTAACCATATTGTCATTCATAACACAAGGCCAATTCTGTCTCTTGGTTTACATATTTATTTACCCAAGATGCAAGAAAACATATGAAATTATAGTAATATTATCAGGGATAATTTAAGTTTTTTTTCATTTTAGGAAAAGTATGTTACATATCAGGCTGGGAGGTTTATTCTTTGAGTCAAAAGAGGCATATTTTCCTGTGTTCATTTTTGTGTTTGTTGTTGCAAATTGAGTCAGACTCATACGTAGCAAATGAAACTAATTCGGTCTGGCCTATTTGAACTTTTGTGCTCAGATACTTATTTTATCAAACTATTTATTGAACAGGTGATTTTGAAACTTGAGGAAAGTCGACTTCCAGAGACATGGCAGCTTGCACAGTACCACATCAAGTAGGTCCATGTTGTCATGGCAACAAGCACTACACGTCTGTATCACAACATGTGTTCATGTCACATTAAATACAAGTTCTCGAGTGGATTTGATTTGTCATCTGATCTTTTAAATTGAAGTATTGTTCATGTCATAAAGTTACACAAGGGGGCAGGTGTGGCCCAGTGATTGAAAGTGTCACAAGTTAACAAGTTAACAATTTACTGTGAGAGTTGCATACCTTTAGGTAGCAGGATACACTGATAATGGGATCAGAGCCAAAATTTAGCCCATCTTCCCGAGGCAAGGGAGTTAACTGACTATAAAAGTCGAGTTTCCACCCTTGCCGAACTAGGCAGGAATTATGGAGTTACATTTTGGCTGGACTAACGAGTCTATGCATAGTCCAATCAAAATCGCGCACCGAAATCGAAATCCGGTTAGTAAACAGTTGTGCAGATTTTGGTCGGTTGCAGGACTTGCAAAAAATGTGCACCGCCAACTTGTTGTCAACAGATAATTTCCAAGTCTTTTCATGTTTCTAATCAAGGTGCTCACTTGATTTGATGCACTTCACGATGTAAGACCCGATTTTTCTTGATATAGATCAATATAGATCTTGATTATCGATCAGATCGTCTTGACTGGGCGCCGCCATTTTGTTTGAAACAAATGCAAGTGATACGAGAGATGGAATCTGATTGGTCCACAGGAGAGGCTTGAAAGGGACATAACTCGTAATAACCATTGGTGGCGCTACGATCGAGCCCAGGAATTCCAGCCTAGTTCGGCAAGGGTGGAAACTGGACTTTCAAAGTCAGTTAACTCCTTGCCTTGGGAAGATGAATTCACCCTGGTTAATATCTATGGTCATCACACGGGTTCACGAGTGGTAAACGTGTGAGACCATACCTTTGGGTTTCCTCCCTGTGTTCAAAGCAGTGTGACACTCACTCACTCACTCACTCACTCACTCACTCACTCATCCACTCACTCACTCACCAACTCACTCACTCACTCACTCATATTGCAGGTGTGAAGACGAGGACAAGTTCACGTTGATGTGCGCTCTGTTCAAGCTGGGTCTAATCAGAGGGAAGTCCATCCTGTTTGTCAACTCGGTAGACCGCTGCTACAAGTAAGTGAAGACATTGCTTGATACATACGGGGGGTACAGACATACACTACAGGAAACTCATGGTCCACTGCGAGGCTGGGATCAAGATGTGACTGGTGTAAGGTGTTCTTAGGTTACCATCTTGTTTTACTCTCAAAGTTGAGGGGAGATGCAATATATAGATTTCTGAATGAACTGAAAGAACATTATCACCACCAAATGTATATGAAACTCTCAAGGAGGATCTGTTATGTTACAGTATAGATCTTGATTATCAATCAGATCATCTTGACTGAGCGCCGCCATTTTGTTTGAAACAAATGCATGTGATATTGAAGGTGGAATCTGATTGGTCAGTAAGAGGTACACAGATGGGTAATAGACAATAGGCACCCATCTGCAGGTTGTTGGCAAAGTATCTTCCTCAGAACCAGTTGTATTTAATGGCAAAAGAATATTGGTGTTGACTTGACGTATACTGTAAACCTAGTGGCTGTTTGTGCTTGTAGGTTGAAGTTGTTCCTGGAACAGTTTGGTGTCAACGCCTGTGTCCTCAACTCAGAACTTCCAGTCAACTCCAGGTTCGTAATGGTAGACAGAAGAATCGTTTTCCTTTACCACAGAGTCAGAGATGGTCAAATCTCTGTTCTATCTTTTGTTTCCTTTACTTTAACTTTTGTAAAAAGGTATTTATAAGCGGCCATTTCATAAACAGCATAGGTGTGTGCTTTATGGAACAACACTCATGGCTGGCGTATGTCTGATCTATTCAGTGTTATATAAGAAACTTGACAAGATGTGGCAGTTAAACATTTCCTGATTACACTGTTGACAGTGTGTGACAATATGAAATTAAGGAAACAGGATGTGAGGGTAAATGTCTTAAAGATATCCTAGCTGGTTTGACAATGTGTGGAAGTAACCAAAAGAATTATGTCTCCTAAGTCCTAACATCTTATGTTTGTTGTTGGTCAGAAAAAATAACTGTCATGAAACTATTGCAAGTGTGTGTGACTCGCAGTTTTAACAGTTCTTTCCTGCTCATTAAACATATCAGATTTCCAGTAAAACGCAGATAGAATTCTAAATAGCATCTTGCCAAAATCATGATAACATGAGTAAACTTTAAAAAAAAAAAATTCATCAGATGGGTGGTGCATGCCTCATTTTCTCTGAAATAGACGATAAAAACCTCTGTTGCTGAAGGTTGAAGTTGCCGTGGTTACCTGTGATTACTGTCAGCTCATCCTTTGTGTTTCAGGTGTCACATTGTGACCCAGTTCAATGAGGATGTATACAGCTACATCATTGCATCTGATGAAACACTTCTGGCCGATCCTAAACAGAAGCCACAAGACAAGAAGAAGTAAGTCAGGTTTATGTTGCCTTTTGAATTAATGTTGTCAATGATGTGTGGTTTACGCGAAACCACAAACATTTGCCATTGCTGTGTAGCACAGAGGTGACAGGTCTTGTCATGATTATGTACAGCTGCAGTGATATTGCTGAGATATTGTTTCAGGTAGACTCAGACGACTTTGCGTCAGTGAGTTTGGGGAATGTTTCAGGTAGACTAAGACGACTTTGCATCAGTGAGTTTGGGGAATGTTTCAGGTAGACTAAGACGACTTTGCATCAGTGAGTTTGGGGAATGTTTCAGGTAGACTAAGACGACTTTGCATCAGTGAGTTTGGGGAATGTTTCAGGTAGACTAAGACGACTTTGCATCAGTGAGTTTGGGGAATGTTTCAGGTAGACTAAGACGACTTTGCATCAGTGAGTTTGGGGAATGTTTCAGACACAAGAAGAAGATCCATGAGTATGGAGTGTCCCGAGGAATTGACTTCCAGAATGTTTCAAACGTCATCAACTTTGACTTCCCCAGGAATGTAGACTCCTATATACACAGAGTAGGAAGGTTGGTTTTTGACAGTTGTAGTCACTGATCACTCTTTTCTAAAGTGTGAATGGGTAGCCTTGTGGTTGAAAGCATTGACTTTCACGTCAAAGACCCGGGTTTGAATCCCTACATGGTAATAATGTGTGGCACCCGTGAAGATACGGGGTAGAATAGGTCTTCAGCAACCCATGCTTGCTGTAAAAGACAACTATGCTTGTAAGAGGCGACTTGGGGGATCGGGTGGTCAGGCTCGCTGACTTGGTTGATGCATGTCATCATATCCCAATTGCATAAATCAATCCTCATGATGTCAGTCACTGGATTGTCTGGTCCAGAATCGATTATGTACAGACCGCAGTCATATAGCTGGAATATTGCTGAGTGCAGCGCTAAACAACAAACAAACAAACAAACAATCTTAGCGCTATAATTTTTGTAAGTTTGTGTTAACGTATGGGAGTTACCAGCGCCTTAGTGCTGAGATCGCTTTGTGGAACAGGGCCCTGGGTGTGAACTTTTTGTACAGGAAGCATGCATCCATATTTCAACGTAACGTTGTTGACTGACCACATGATGATGTGTTGTTGACTTCAGGACAGCACGAGGCAACAACCACGGCACCGCGCTGTCGTTCGTCAACATCAAGGAGATGGCGATGTTGCAGGAGGTGGAGGATGACCTAGCTGATCATGCACGTGGGTAGACCGCTACATCTTTACACACTGACGTTCATTTGTTTGGGTTCATATTTCCATGACCCTCACAATTACATAAATGTTTTACTTATCCTGCATTACTCCTTAAGCCATTTACTGCATACTTATGGGGCGGTCGGGTAGCCTAGTGGTTAAAGCATTCGCTCGTCACGCCGAAAACCCGGGTTCGATTCCCGACATGGGTACAATGTGTGAAGCCCATTTCTGGTGTCCCTCGCCGTGATATTGCTGGAATATTGCTAAAGCGGCGTAAAACCATACTCACTCACTCACTCACTGCATTCTTATAGGAAGCCGTGTGAGGTCCAGCTGAAGAAAAGGTTGACCCCTCCCTGATCCTGTCAAGTTTTTGCTGACGGCCCCATCCCTCCCCATCCCTCCCCATCCCTCCCTAACATAGCTTACATGTCATGAATACCATTCTGTCTTTCAGCTGAAGGCGAAAATCTCTTTAAACCTTACAACTTCAAGATGGAGGAAATTGAAGGCTTCAGATACCGATCTAGGGTAAGTTACAAAATAAACTTTTACAGAAAACTGTCAATGTGAATTAGTTGCATTTAAAGTATTTGATGTCATAGATGGGTCTTTAATGGATTTAGGCCAGAATAGCTGTTAGAATTGAGGACCTTTTATCATGCTTGACATTTTAGCACCAAACATGTACTTTTATGACCCCTCTTTTTAAGGCTTCCCCCCCTGAAACTAAGCTAACTTGCCAGGATGTGAAACACAGGGTTTGGGGATTGTACTGTACTATGGACACTCACTCACTCACTCACTCACTCACTCACTCACTCACTCACTCACAGTATTCATTAATGCCGCTGTGAGGAAGATACACCATAACGAACAACAACAACATCAAACACTATTCACTCACTCACTCACTTACTCAATGTGTAATGCCGCTGTGAGGAAGATATACCGTAACGAACAACATCAAACACCACTCACTCACTCACTCACCCACTCAAGCACTCAAAGTATTCACTAATGTCCCTGTGAGGAAGATACACCATAACGAACAACAACAACATCAAACACTATCCACTCACTTACTCAATGTGTAATGCCGCTGTGAGGAAGATATACCGTAACGAACAACATCAAACACCACTCACTCACTCACTCACCCACTCAAGCACTCAAAGTATTCACTAATGTCCCTGTGAGGAAGATACACCATAACGAACAACAACAACATCAAACACTATTCACTCACTCACTCACTTACTCAATGTGTAATGCCGCTGTGAGGAAGATACACCATAACGAACAACAACAACATCAAACACTATTCACTCACTTACTCACTTACTCAATGTGTAATGCCGCTGTGAGGAAGATACACCGTAACGAACAACATCAAACACCACTCACTCACTCACTCACCCACTCAAGCACTCAAAGTATTCACTCATGTCCCTGTGAGGAAGATACACCATAACGAACAACAACAACATCAAACACTATTCACTCACTTACTCACTTACTCAATGTGTAATGCCGCTGTGAGGAAGATATACCGTAACGAACAACATCAAACACCACTCACTCACTCACTCACCCACTCAAGCACTCAAAGTATTCACTCATGTCCCTGTGAGGAAGATACACCATAACGAACAACAACAACATCAAACACTATCCACTCACTTACTCAATGTGTAATGCCGCTGTGAGGAAGATATACCGTAACGAACAACATCAAACACCACTCACTCACTCACTCACCCACTCACCCACTCAAGCACTCAAAGTATTCACTAATGTCCCTGTGAGGAAGATACACCATAACGAACAACAACAACATCAAACACTATCCACTCACTTACTCAATGTGTAATGCCGCTGTGAGGAAGATATACCGTAACGAACAACAACAACATCAAACACTATTCACTCACTCACTCACTTACTCAATGTGTAATGCCGCTGTGAGGAAGATACACCATAACGAACAACAACAACATCAAACACTATTCACTCACTCACTCACTTACTCAATGTGTAATGCCGCTGTGAGGAAGATATACCGTAACGAACAACATCAAACACCACTCACTCACTCACTCACCCACTCAAGCACTCAAAGTATTCACTCATGTCCCTGTGAGGAAGATACACCATAACGAACAACAACAACATCAAACACTATCCACTCACTTACTCAATGTGTAATGCCGCTGTGAGGAAGATACACCATAATGAACAACATCAAACACGATTCACTCACTCACTCCAGGATGCAATGCGGGCGGTGACGAGGCTGGCAATCCGAGATGCCCGGATGAAGGAGATTCGACAGGAGCTGCTCACAACAGAGAAACTGAAGGTAGGCCACAGGTTGCAGATAAACTAATATATAAGTCCCTTTATATGCACTTTCCCCAGTGCGGACCTGGGTAGAATATGTCCCCAGCACCCCATTGCTAGTTGTAAGGGCCAACTAATTTGGGAACCTGTTGAGAATCCAGGTAAGAATTGGGCCCTTGCGACTAGTGGTGTTAGATACCGCTATACAGTATTGTATTGCGATACGATGGCCAAGGATACAATACATTAATTTACAACCCTTGTATCCCGATACATACGATACATTTCATTACAAATTTTATTGGTGTATGAACACATGAATAAAGACAGAAACTTTCGCAGATTCTCTAGTATTTCATGTTGGACATAAATAGCATGACATTCACAGTGACCTCTACCAATAGGTTTCTGCTGTACATTATCCCATGTTTGATCTCTAAAATTTAATAACAAATGATTCAGGGTTCTGATTCATCTGCAAAAAGAAAGAATGTCAACTTGTGGAAGTACTGTATTGGGATACGAATGGTATTGCACCCACAGTATCTGGATACGTATCGTATCGCAACCCCACCGTATCATTACAATTCTACTAGTAACCTATGCTGGTCGTAAGAAGTGACTAAATGGATGGGATGGTCAGACTTGATGTCAACGTATCACAACTGCATGTATATTTGCTCACTATATCAATCACTGGATTGTCTGGTCCAGTCTCCACTATTCACAGGCCCCCATCATGTGGCTTGAATATTGCTGAGTGCGGCGTTAAAAGATGCCCACACCGTCCCATACACATTTAAAAGCAATTGCACACATGTAGTACTGAGACTTCCTGTGGTGTCAAATATTTTTATCGTGTCTGATGTCTGTTTTAGTCTCACTTTGAGGACAACCCCCAGGACCTTCAAGTGCTGCGTCACGACAAGGCTCTCCACACCGTCAAGAAACAGGTCGTTCTCAAACACGTCCCGGACTACCTCGGTGAGTCACTGATGGATGCTTACACACATATGACAGTGAGTGAGTGAGTGAGTGAGTATGGTTTTGCACCGCTTTTAGCAATATTCCAGCAATATGCTGGTGGCGGACACCAAAAATGGCCTCACACATTGCACCCATGTGGGGAATTGAAACCCGGGTATTCAGCATGACGAGCGAACATTTTAACCACTAGGCTACCCCACCGCCCTAAATGACAGTTGAGGACCATTGGACGATAGATACAGATTGGCATGAGTGGCCCACTTGTCGAAGGCACTGCAATTCACTGTGCGGAGTTGTTTCCCTTGGCACACCAGAAACCTATGATTGAAGTTCGAATCCTGGTCTTCCCAGTTTATGTTTCTAGTTATGTCGGCGCCATACCCGTGCTCATTGTGAAAGTCTGTGACCTGCATCTGATTTCCTCCTGCCATGATATAATTGGACTATTTTTAAAAACCTACCGGTACCGGTAGTAGAATCCAACTAAACCAAAGATCTGGTGTTCTGTTCTCCTACATCTCGGACCCATGAAGATTAACCCCATTAACCCATGCTTGCCGTAAAAGGTGACCCTGCCTGTCATAGCAGGCGGCTACAGTGATCTGGTGGTCACCTTCGCTGACTTGGTTGATGCACGTCATCGTATCCCAATTGCATAAATCCATGCTCATTATGCGAATCACTGGATTGTCTGGTCCATACTTGATTATTTACAGACCGCCATCATACAGCTGGCATATTGCTGAGTGCGGTGTTAAACAAAAAAAACCCAAATCCTACAACTCACCAATCCTGAGACAATATCATAAACAGGAACAAACTAACTTCAATCTGCATGAAGATTAACTAATTGCGGCATTACACCTACTCTAACAGCCACAATTTCATCAAGGTCAAACATTTCATTGTGGTATCGTTTCAGTTCCGAAGACACTGAAGAATCTACAGCAGGAGGAAAAGACCGACAAAACCAAGAAAAGTAACAAACCCGGCCCATCTAGGGGACAGTTGAAGTTCAAGGTCAGTCAGGAATTCTTGTTAATGAACCCTTGTTAGTCTGGACCCTGTTAAGCCGAAAGTCCCGTCTTCTGGAAGATTACTGATGTGTCTGTTTTCATGTGGTGTATTGTGAACATGGTGCATTAATGTGACAAGTTGTTGATGAGGATGATTTCAGACCACCTCCGTGGTCTAGCGATAGAGCGTCCGCGCAGAGAGCGGAAGGTCCGGAGTTTGATCCCCGGCTGCATCATACCAAATGACGTTAAAAGATGGTACTTTTTGTTACCCAGCCTGGCACTCTGGATTAAGGGGATAAGCCAAGGACTGGTGTCTGAGTGGGGTATTCATGTTAAACTGCGGCATGGTATCTCAGTGGGCTAGCAATATAACTTGGCATCAGTCCGGACTAGTACAAACAGCCCCACACATGGATGCCGCTATACAAGTGCAATAATCTTGAACGCGACGTTAAACCTCATTTCACCCCAGATGATATTTACTGTTAATGTTTCGGCCATATAACCTATCGTGCTGCCAACACATTATTATGTTCATCTAATTCTCAAAATAATTCTACATTTGATTGTTTTCAGAAGAGACAAGCTGATCCCTTGAAAAGTTTTGAGTTCACTGGCCTCAGTAGTAAGAAGAAGAAGAAGAAATGAACAGAAGATGATTTCATTTGTAAAATCTGTAAATAACCCCAAAATATTAAATGTTGATCAAAACCCAACAGATTGTCACTGTTTTGTTTTGTTTTGTTTATGAAATCACCATTGTCCTATAACATGTAAGAACACAAAATTCTGAGTAAGTGAGTTGGGTTTAACTGGAAGTATTCCAGTTATATCAGGGCATATGTCAGCTTGATGTGGGAGGAAAGTGGGAGGTAATGCAGGTCTCAGACGTCTACCACTTTGGTAACTCACAAGCATGGGTATGATGCTGACAAACCTCGGGGAAAACCACGATTCCAACCCACTAACAGGTTTCTGGCATGATCAAGGGATGTAACTCTGCACAGAGAATTGCAGCGCCCTCTACACATTTCTGGAAACATGAGATAACAACTTAACTTATTTCCAAGATTTATTCAGTGTTTCTCTACAAACCATACTTGACAACAATAGCAACACATGTTCAATATTATTACAGGCTCTCAGTACTAGAGTTACAAATATATAACAGGAGGATTTTGTAAGTCTAGCTGTCAACTTGTATTCTACTCAACTTTTGATTGGGATAATGAGATGTGGAAGCCTTATGAGTTTGCACCTCAAGGAATAGGAACCTGTATATACTACTCACCTTTTGATAGGGGTAGAGATATGGAAGCCTTTCAGTTGAACTTTTGGAATAATGGTTATATCCATTCTACTCAACATATGAAAGGGATAATGAGGTGTGGAAGCCTTATCGATTTGTCACCATAGGAACATTAATACTACTCAACTTTGATAGGGATGAGCTGTGGAAACCCTTTCAGTGGACCTTGTAGAATAAAAGGAAATATATATATTACACACAAAAATTAGGGATACAGGACATTGGTTCAGAATCCCTCCTTTTCTGAGGATTATTGATGGGAACCCAAAAATAATACAAATGAAAACTCTGTACATTTTATCCCTCTCAAAACTTGAGTGGTATTGCGTTCCATTAAAATGGGAGGGGATAGAGACGAGACAAACCCAAGACTTCTTGTTTTGCGAATTTAAGAATCAAGTGGTGAGACCTTGTTACAGGATATATTTGTGAAGGTAAGGATGTCATCCTCAGGATGACTCCAAACCCAGCTACAACAGCTACTCCTACTCCTTCGTCAACAGAACGCACGACCTGGGCCACATAGAGGGCAATGAGACTTCCCTCTGCACATTTGATATTAACATGCTCAGTCCCATATTGTGCGCCAGCGTTGTGACCATAACTTTTCTGAGTCTGTGATTGGACACGAACCATGGACCTTCTGATCCAAGGTCGAGCACCTTGTCCACATGACCAAACAGGTTTTGATGTCATCTATGAAATGACTCCACACCCTGCTACAGATGGATAGCATTTCTGGGTACAAAATATAGTTTCTCTTTTTCAAAGTGTTGTTAAAAGTTCTTAGTCAAAAGGACTGGTGTGTGTGAGTGAGTGACAATAGCAGTGTTTGGCACATCGGAATCTTCAGCCCGCCACTCGATTCACAGTACAACATCCCATCAAACATCAATTAGCAGAACTGTACAGTCACAGAACACAGTAACAGTAGAACTGTACACAATGGAACAGTACAACATGTACACTATATCTGAATATACACCATCATAACATGAATAAACACATTTCGAATGGACCAATCAAATTGCAGGTTACATCAAGTAGAATGGATGTTCACAACATGGCCTTCATGGCATAAAAAAATAATTGTCTTGGTTCTCAGGCACCGCCCGCATCATTTTGTTTGCCGCATGTTTCGTTTTTATTTTAAAAAATCAAAAATCCTTAAATTGTCCAAGTCCAGCAGTAGTCAAATACTGTATTCTAGTATTTTAGTCATTAAGGAATACATTTATGTAGGGAGGTCCTTTCCCAGGTTGATTGTGCACAACTGTTTATTTGGTTACATACTACTTTGAACACACACACCCCACCGCAAAAGACACCGCCCACCAGCACTATTTTTTCACAAAACATTGCCTGAGAACCAATTCTTTTATTTTATTAAGCACAGTTTAAAAATAACTGCCAGGAAACAAACAATCTACAGATTTTGGGGAAAATGTCAACTGCTGAATAATTATCTAATATACTACTCTACTTTTGATAGGAATATTTTTATCTTTCCTTGATACACAAAACTTATTCTCATTTGTCAAGTGTATACTTAAACATGACAAAACTGAATATCCCTATCAAAAGGTGAGTAGTATATTTTGCACATCACACTTCATAGTATCTACTGTGCAATGTAATGTGAATCAGTTACCATCACATTTACAATGTGTGTTGTGGTAGATTCTACTTTCAAAGAATTTGGATAAAGGCAATGGCATGCTTCAAATTGCTTCAAATTGCTGAAGTCAGCTTCACACAAAATCTTCATAGAAAACGGAGACAAATTTTAAGAAGTACACGGAAATAAATCCTGAGGAAAATTTCAATTAACATTTTAAAAATTGTCAATTACTTCTTATTTTTATTGAAAACGTGTCACCAAATAATTTAGTAACGTGATTTTGTGTATGTCATAAGGTTTGTCTACTTCAGGGGTGTGGTGGGTGTGGCACGCCTCTACACCCCTCTCTGGGTCTACATATACCAAGGGACATATATTCATGACTGATGTTTTTTTACAGACATATGACAGCTGTGACGAGTGAGTATGCTTTTACGCCGCTTTTAGCAATATTCCAGCAATATCACGGCAGGGAACATCAGAAATGGGCTTCACACATTGTACCCACATCGGGAATCGAACCCAGTTTTTTCGGCATGACAAGCGAACACTTTAACCACCAGGCTACCCGACCGCCCCTTTGTTTATCTTAAGTCCCTGTACAGTAAGTACACAACATCGAGGGATGGCATGGAAGCGCACAGATTCAATAATATCAGAATTTCTACTTTTAACATGCAGCCAGAGTAATTGTCAGATGTCCACTCATTTTTGAGTTTCACATACAAGTTATCTTGAGTTATAATGGGCTTCACACATTGTGCCCATGTAGGGAATCGAACCCGGTGTGACGAACGAACGCTTTAACCACTAGGCTACCCGACTGACCCTCCTGGAATTAGGTTTCTTTGAAACAAATGTGATTAATTGCAACACAGAAACATCATTCCATGTAGGATATATACTCACCGCAAAAAAAAACGCAAATACCATACATCTTGGTTAATATATGAAGAGCGATAAGATTGGTTCGATGAACAAAAATACTGGTATGTTGTGTGAACCGATGCTCATGAACACATCGCATGTGACATCATAGATCCATGACACGAGATGCACCATTAGCATGTAAAGTTGGGAAATCACGTGCAGCATATCGTGATAGGAATAAAGTCACTCTGTGGGAACACTTGACAGATTGTTAGTTTTGTCATTAATTGGTACACATTCGAAACATCTCTTCTTATCATACATACCTCTCTATATGTCTCTATGGTTCGCGTTTCTTTAGACGGTGAGTATATATATACTACTCAAAAGAAGTTAAGAACACGTGATTATTTCATATTACTATAGATAATGTTATGCAATAACAGATCAACTATAGTAATAGGAATGAATTGGACATTCCTTAACTTATCTTAAGCAGTATCTCATATCTAAACCACTGATTATAACATTGAACTGGACAATGCTGATAATTTGGCACCAAACATAAGTTGCTGAGCAACACTAAGGAAACTAAAGATGTGATCAACACTTCAGGGCCCCGTTCCACAAAGCGCTCGTAGCGCTGAGATGATCGAAACTCCCATACTTTAACATAGACTTACGGCAGTCTTAGCGCTAAGATCGCTTTGTGGAACGGGGACCAGGGTCCTATTTCAAGAACTATCATAGTGCTGCGACTATTTTAACTCCCATACTTTGACACAGATTTACTTACAACAGTCGTAGCGCTACAATTGCTCTGTGACATGGGGCCCTGGTTTATTGAAGACACGGACGTTTCTTAAGACTTTCAACCCACAAGTGACACAATCACAACATTCATCAGGTTTCAACAGTTTATTCAAGTGTTTGACAGCTCTGTCTTTAGTCTGTCGATTATCAGGTCGAGTTTATCTGCTGAGAAAGTCATGACTGTACGTAGAGCCTCCATATCGTCCTCGTCGTCCCACTGTCCGGTGACCACGGAGTCCCGCTCACTTGCCACGGAGTAGGTGAAGTGCGAGTCACAGACCTGAAGGACATCAGTTGACATGTTGACATCTCTAGACAGAGCTACAGATAAGCATCGTATTTGCTTAAAATACCCCCCAAATATATTCAAAATCCAATTAGTTTCAATTAACTTGCGTACAGAAACGAATGCATTAAATGAAAAACAACACTCGTAAATACCAAATGAAAATTTTTCAGCATGCATACAAACGAGCTAATTTCCAAATCCGAAACACAATTACGAGCTAATTTACTTTTGGAGTCAAGCCTATATATTTAGAACAGTTATCATGGTTATACACATCTAAAACATTTATTTTTTTTAAATCTTAAAATGTTCACTCTTTTGGGGGAAAACCCAATAGTTATTAATAGATGAGTGAAAGAATATTGGCTACCCAATGAAAAATGTAATAACCCAATTAAAATAGAAACCCTAGAGTAAACACTCAGTTGCTCAAAAGGTTATCTGGAGCTCTGTCCAGATAATAATCTATAATTTTACTGTTTAAGAGAATTCATTTATGGCCACGCTGATTGGTATGAAAGTTATGTCATTGTGTGTCAGCTTGACATCACAGTCCACCTTAGATCACAGACTATGTTAGATCACAGACCACTTTATAGCACACATAAAGACCACAGACCACCTTAGATCACAGATCATTCAGATCACAGTCCACCTTAGTGCACAGACCACCTTAGATCAGACAACAGACCATGTTAGATCAGATCACAGTCCACCTTAGATCACAGACCATCTTAAATCACAGACTGCCTTAAATCACACCTAAGATCACAGACCACCTAAGATCACAGTCTACCTTACATCACACCTTAGATCACAGACCACCTTCGATCAGTCAAGCTTAGATCACAGACCATGTTAAATGAGATCAGACACCACCTAAGATCACAGACCACCTTAGATCACAGTCCACCTTAGATCACAGACCACCTTAGATCAGACAACCCCAGATCAGTTCACCTTAGATCACAGATCACAGTGCACCTTAGATCACAAACCACCTTAGATCACAGACCACCTTAGTGCACAGACCTTAGATCAGATCACAGACCACATTAGATCAGATCACAGACCATCTTAGATCACAAACCAGCTTAGACCACACCTTAGATCACACTCCACCTCAGAACACAGACGACATTAGATCAGTCCACCTTAGATCACAGACCACCTTAGATCACACTCCACCTCAGAACACAGACCACCTTAGATCAGTCCACCTTAGATCACAGACCACCTTAGATCACACTCCACCTCAGAACACAGACCACCTTAGATCACAGACCACCTTAGATCAGTCCACCTTAGTGAGTTAAAGAGGTTTTACGCCGTTTTTAGCAATATTCCACCAATATCACGGCTGGGGACACCAGAAAGGGGCTTCACATATTGTACCCATGTTGGGGATCCAACCTGGGTCCTTAGATCACTGTCCACCTTGGATCACTGTCCACCTTGGATTACAGACCACCATGGATCACAGACCACCTAAAATCACAGTCCATCTTGGATCAGACAACCTCAGATCAGAGGTCCACCTTGGATCACAGACCACCTTAGATTACAGACAACCTGGGATCATAGTCCACCTTAGATCAAAGTCCACCTTGGATCACGGACCACCTTAGATCACGGACCACATTGGATCATAGACCGCCTTGGATCACAGACCACCTTTGATCACAGTCCATCTTGGATCACAGACCAACTGGGATCACAGACAACCTTAGGTCACAGACCACCTTAGCTCACAGACAACCCAAAGTCACAGACAACCTCAGATCACAGACCACCTTAGGTCACAGACCACCTTAGCTCACAGACAACCTTAAGTCACAGACCACCTTAGATCACAGACCACCTTAGATCACAGACAACCCATGCCCCAACCACTTTGATTAAACAAACAAGCAATGATATGATGCCAAGAGACACCGTCTTCTCAAACGCAAAATAGTTTCTGCCATAAAAGTAATTGCAAACTCTCCATCTGACCCGATGGTAAATTCTTTGAATTTTGACAACATTTTGCACCAAAAGTACCTCATATATAAGTTCCTCCTCCGAGTTGCTGAAGAGCAGGTCGTCCTTGGCACCAGATTTCTCCCCCGGAACTTTCATCCGATATGTCTTGCTGATCATAAGGAAGTTGGCGAATTTGAAGTTCATCTTCTTGTTGACGGCTTTCTGAAGGTCCTTCCTGTAATGCATTGTGGGTAACATCTCAAGACAAAATTATGAAAATGTGTTAATTTCATGGTACTCTGAAATTATTACGAAATCAGTTATCAATCAGGTGATTGAAGAATGACAATATAGACTGATATGTCAAGAATTTCTAAAGGTTTAAAACCTCTGATGTTTTTCAAAAGAATGAGTGAGGTTTAACACTGCTTTTAGCAATATTCTAGCAATATGACAGCCGGGGCACCTGAGAAATTGGCTTCACACATTGTACCCATGTCGGGAATTGAACCCAAGACTTCGGCGTGACGAGAAAACACCTTAACCACTAGGCTACCCAACCACCCCTTTTTCAAAAGAAAGTATCACATCAAGTTGTGATAAAAAAAAATAGAGATGGTTTATGGATTCCTTTCCCAAGTAGTTGCAATTTCTCAGGTGTTAGTATATGGGTGTCATGACTGAATCCCACAGTTGGCAATATTCCAGCTAAATCACAGCCAATAAACATTTAGCTCTGAAAGAAAACCAAAAGTGCCTTATTTCTGCTTTCCTGGAGTAGCCATCACTGTGTGGTATCATGTGGCAAGATCAGCCAATATTAGTGAGAAGGTGAGGTTGGTTTTAACGCCGCTTTGAACAGTATTCCAGTTATATCATAGTGTGTCAGCTTTCTTCGGAGGAAAACCCACAGTGATGGTGGTCTCTGACGTTTACCACTTTAGTGAAACCCACGAGCACAGGTATGGTGCTGACAAACCTAGTAACATGACCTGGGCAACCGGGGTCATATCCACAATCACAGGTTTCTGGCGTCCCCAAGGTATGCAACTCTGAACAGCGAATTGAGACACCTCAGACAACTGTTTGTTTGTTGCATCGATCTACGCAATTTGGATACCATGACATGGATCAACCAAGTCAGCGAGCCTGACCACCCGATCCCGTAGTCGCCTCTTACGATAAGCATGGGTTACTAAAGACCTACTCTAGCCCAGGTCTTCACGGGTCCTTAGAGGACCGAACCACCCCTCCTTTCGATATATTACTTAACATGATTTTTCATGTAATTATCACAAAAAGTGAAAATAATTTCGTCATGAGCAATGATCCAGCTATGTAAGTACTTACTTGAGTGTACCCATGAAGATCCGGGGTAGAATAGGTCTTCAGCAACCCATGCTTGCCGTAAAAGGCGACTTTGCTTGTTGTAAAAGGCGACTAACGGGATTGGGTGGTCAGGCTCACTGACTTGGTTCATGCAGCATGTCATCGTATCCCAATTGCGTGGATCGATGCGCATGACGTCAATCACTGGATTGTCTGGTCCAGACTCGATTATTTACAGACCGCCGTCATATAGCTGGAATATTGCTGAGTGTGGCGTAAAACAACTAACCAACCAACCAACCAACTTACTTGAGTGACTCAAATGATGGCACAGCAATCTGTGGTGGTATGTTGATGAAGCGCTCACTCACGAGCAACCCAAGATGGCTGTCTGGATCGTTTAGCAGGAGAGAGAACTTTGACATGTCCACCTGACCTGCTGTCTGACATTTCTCTGACAACATGCCTGTGATCTGCTGAACACTCTCCCGGTCCTGGAGACACAAATACATACTTAATTCTCAACTTGGCATCACACCACCTTATGTCACAGCCACATGAACAAAGCCATCTATCTACAGGTAATCAAAATTATTTTTGCATATCGAAACCTATCCATAATGCAGATGGAGTCACATACATTCTGGATACAGCTCTGAGGGTTCGAAAACATAACAAGACCCTGTCGGAAAATAACAGAAGTGTATATATTAAGTAAATGAAGGGTTGTCGGCACAGGTACTACAGACATGTATCCCAGGTACGTTTCTGTATTTTTAAATGTACCCTAGCCAAACTCAAAATACAGAAACGTACCCTAGGAAGAGTCCATTAAGATTATCTTCTTAAGCTGCATTCCAGCGTATCATATAGGAAACGATCATACACAGTGACGTATGCACATTAATCTAATATTCCGCGGTGCACGCATGCACTCGTAATCAGGCGAACCAGAACTACAACATGAACCGGTTTCGGTTTCGGGTTGTGGAATATGGACTCATCCTCCGTTTAGGGCACCTGATACTTTTCTGTATTTTGATTTGGGCTACGGTACATTTCTGTTGTACCTGTGCCGACAACGACCCCTTCAGTGCAACTGGGGGTCTATAAACTATCTCTTCACGACAAAATTATATACATTATGGATTTCCTTTCTTCAGATGACAATAGGCATTTGTTTATTTTAAAACAGGAATTACAAATAATGATCCTTGTGACAAATGCTGCCCCTTGCCAAGGTCATGAGAACTGCATTCTTTGCATGGAACAGATAATCAGTTTTTCTTGTTGGCACTGACTGTTCCTTCAGCAGAAGTCGTTGTATTTCTTTTTTCAATTCACACTGTAGGCCATCGGCCCATTGTACATTTAGATAGTCAGGCCCACGGTGGACATTAACGAGCTCCTAATATTCATGGCATGGAATAAACATGTATATAGTGAAAGGTTTTTCATGGTTTCAGCATAACGTGATGACAACATAGGTTAGATTTATGTAATGTAGATTGGACATGATATTTTCCTGGAATATATTTGTTTCTAAGATTATTATATGTTTTACAAATTAACAGAAAATGGTATTCGTTTTCGATAAGACCAATGTTACAGAGGTTACAAAGTCTTTGGTCTCTTGTGACATTGTGATATCCACCCACTTCAATATGGAGTGTGTGCGAACTACAACGATAGCCGAAAAGCACATATATTAAGCAATAAAGCAAATATTGATATTTAGAAGATACGCTTCAACACAAAAATTTCATTTAAATAAAGAATAGGTGTACATTTTCGGACTACTAGCAATATCTGAATGCCTTTCTTGTTCATGTATATATTTTAATTGTGATACAAATTCCAATATAAATAGTTTTGGATAAGAAATTGATTGGTTTTCCCAAACATAACCGAAACCAAATTTATATAAAGTATTTTTAACCTTGGATACCCAATTAATCTTGCCATTTACAGCTTCTTTAAACAAGAGCCCAAGTCCAAAGTCTGAGTCCCGTAAAATTCTGTTCGATCTGGTATGATCAACTAATAACAGTCCACATCATAACACTAAAATCTACTAAAAACGATTCTAAGAGCCATGTTCAGGTCAGTAGACTCAAAGTATTTGGGCATTAGAAGTTGTCAACCGATCTGGAGCTGTCGGGCGAAGGGTACATAGGTTCACACACAGGGTACACCACACTAGATGCCGTGTAGGAACAGTTGATAACGAATTTGTCTTACCGATATTCATTCATACAGATCCGGAATATGTCCACAGTTTCAAACCTAGTAGCTGACGATTCAAATGAACCGAGTTACTTCCCTTTACCCAATGCATTAGGATAAACATTGGTTCATTTGACGATATTTATTCGGGATATGCAAGTTACCTAAGATGTGTTCCGACTATTTTTTCAGCGGGCTACATTGGCAGGCTACATGGAAAAAAATTGCCAGCTCCTTAACCAATCATAAATTAGTAGTTTTATGTAAGGTGAGAAAAAGACTGTGTAATTTGCCAAGTCTGACCTTCTTGTCTGTGAGGTTGATGACGGTGAAGATACCGAACACGGGGTCATCGTCATCCTCCTCTTCATCCTCCTCCTCCGGAGAGTCACACTGTTCAAGCAAACGGGGACTCCGTCAACAACATGCACACCATCCACACTTTCACTGCTACACATGCTTGACAAGGCTACAAAACAACTGTTGGTACCTACACTATTTATATATCAGCCTTGAAATTTACAGCAGCCATATGAACATATAGACATGCCATAGGTGACAGCTAGTCTATATCTAGAATCAGCCAGATGCAATTCAGCCTTCAAATTCACTCAATAAATTTCATTGAAAGGGAGGTAACTCTGGGGTTACTGACTGAACAGATCACATACAAATCATTTTCTCCAAAACTTTTAACAGATTTCTGCAGGGTTTTTCACACATTATACATTCTGTTTTAGGTAATTTACTTGAGATGAGGAATTGTATCGGAACCTTCAAGGCACATTATCCAACATCCACAGCGTATCACATCTCCATTCCATTATGATAAAAACAAGGACAAATTTGTTTTGGTTTGGTTTAAAGGGGCATTCACACGGTACAACTAGTTGTAGACTTGCTTGTTCACACGATGCAATTTGTTGCATGCAACAAATTGTATACAACTAGTTGTACCGTGTGAATGCCCCTTAAAGAACAAGACACTAAAAATTGCTGTCCAATAAAATGACACTATAATAGTTACCATGGTTACAGGAACTCTGTATAGGGAAGTAACAATATCAAAAGTACTTGACTCAAGTTTTCATGTACCGACCGAAATACAATTGCGGAACGATTGGGAGGATATTAAGGACTTAACCCCTACCTCCCCAACATCTTTTCTCACTACAATTTCAGTTTGATTTGTCATAAAATCCTTTATTTAAACATATCAAGGTCTTCCTCAACCAAAGCTGCTGTATTCATGAACATCTACATTTAAGACAAGTCGTTTTGATTAGTTGTTGAGTTTAAGCTCATCAGTGACAGAAATTCTGTGCCAGGTTAGCAATACAGGAGATGGAGATTGTGTCCGCAAGGAGGCTTTGGTGGCATATGGATCCAGAGTGTGTGCATCATAATGGGATGGAGATCATAATAATATGCTGGATAATTGAGAATGATTATCCAATTTCAAAGGCAGGTTAAAAAACTTATACAACCTACCAAATTCAAACCCTGTTATAACATGGAAATTGCTTCTCTTTGAACACTTTCAAATCACTGTTACCATGGTTACAAACACTAGTTTCTTGGTGTTCTTTATGACGAATTTGAAAGTTCTGAAATAATAGTCTGAACAATGATCATAATCAGTGATAATATTTTAAATGAGTGAGTGAGTGAGTATGGTTTTACGCCGCTTTTAGCAATATTCCAGCAATATCACGGCGGGGGACACCAGAAATGGGCTTCACACATTGTACCCATGTCGGGAATCGAACCCGGGTTTTAGGCGTTGCGAGCGAACGCTTTAACCACTAGGCTACCCGATCCCCCCATATTTTAAATATGAAAACACCATTGTACATCACCTTGATGACACTGCCTACGTAGTTCTGGGCGATGATTGTGTCTGTCAACTCAGACAGGTTGATGTTGGCTTTCAGGAACAACTGAAAATAAACAGATATATTGATGAACATATTAACTTCCCACTTGGAAAATTACAGTTCATCCAGTATGCTCTGAAGACAATACTGTTGAAATAAAAATATAAATAAACATGCTAGACACAATATATCATGATATATAAGAATTATATTAAAGTGATTTATACTGTAACATCTGTAAGTTGTATCATATTTAAAAAACAGTTATTTATCATATTACAGGTGTTGAATGAACAATACGATCACATAATCAGCAACTACCCAACAGCTCAAATAATAATCATGCTTTTGCTTGATCACAGTTATTTCAATCAGTACCTTTACCATGTTGACAATTGACATACCTGTTGAAGTAGAGTCTTTATACCATGAAAATCTGAATCAATTGGCATCCGAGCCTCAAACTCCACTTGAACCTCCTGAAAGATTAAAAAGAAACATCCATTTTATAGGATAGAAACTGAATATTGATTTTTGAGATCCAGTGCCACTTCATCACTTAGTACTACAAGAACTAGAGTTTCAGGACTAACAAGCATATGATTTTGTAGTTATCATGCATATCAAAGCAAGAATATTCATAATCCAAAGTTTTCTATTCGCTGAGCGAAGGTAAAAAATCTTCATGACAGTCAGTATTTTCTTGTGTGTAATACAATTTACAGATTCTTTTTCAGAAAATTGGTGAATGGGTACTTGCTAGGATGAAATGGTAATTTGACTGTTAACCTTTTAGAGCCTCACAGGCAGCTTGGGTTGAATACTCCCCAGGAAGCAGAGATATAATCAAGTGAACACTGAAGGACCATGGTAACATACTTGAATTGATTATGTGTGTCATACACAAAACATAATCAATTTTGAGCATAAAATAACAAGTATAATTGCAAAAATGTGTATGTGTGTGAATGTATAAGTGTGTCTTGAATGTACATTCACGACTGTATCCAAATATCAATATGTTTAAGTATGTGTTGATATATATGACTTAAGTAAATAAGGGATAATGAACATACTTCTGCGGTGTGTTTTTTCATTGTAATATCGACGACAATAGTTATTCTTGAATGACACTGGGCTGTTTTGACCAAGTGTGGTCCGTTTTGAGCAGACAAATTGATTCAACTTACTGTATTGTCAGAAACTCAGATCTTAATGCTCTCAAAAAGTGGTTGTGACTGCACACCTTTAGTTTACCTAATTTAAATTTACAATGATTGCAAATAAAAAAAAGAAATATTGCATGAAAATATTGTCTAATTATGCAATGACATTATCGTCAATTTGGTTGAAATTAGCATATGTACTTGATCTATAAATTCATCATCGTCATCTTCATCATCAGATTCTAGGTCGTCATCGTCTAGTTCATCTTCTCCAGCCTCGACATCTTCATCACGACTTGCCAGACTCTCATTTACACGTTTCTTCTTGGAGGATGCCATCTTGAATTTACGATCAATCTGAAAAGTAGAAATGAAGCTCCGAGGTACTAAAATGCGTTCAGGAGACAACCTGTATTTTGCGATTAATACATCTTAATGAATTGATAAATAATTTCGAAATATTTTTTCGCAGACATTAATGTCAATCATGGTGGATGTGAGTACATTTAAATATTAATCATCCGATTGATACCGATTCGTCTTTTGTAAGCAGCTTACCGGAAGTTCTTTAAATGTGCGGCATGAAATGAAAAGCGCGAATCTAACAACTTGAAAAATAGATATCTTCGAGTTTATCCTCATAATCCGCCCGTGGTGGAAAGGATGGACCCCCATACGTACAATAGGGTGACATTTCCATCCAGTTTATTGTATTTCTCATGATGTGATCATTTAAATTATAGGTTTTAGTTTTTGTCAAAAGTGGATCACACCTGAAAATTCATTGAAACACAACATCTGTAGATTTTTGTGAAAATGTGTCTCTTAAGCGCCCTCATATACCTGTCAAAGATGATTTCATGAAAGTAATGCTAATGGCAATCAATCAAGAATTAATGAACTGTTAATTAATGGATGTTACCACTCTTTATATCGCCGAGTACCCTATTTTCGAACAGTCATATTGAAAGTGATTTTGTTACATTATAACGAAAGGTTGGGTGTCAACAAGGCTGTCGCCTTGAGAGTGCACACATTCAGCCTGTCAACATTGGGCTCATGTGAAGTACTGTCAGAACAGTCCATCGTCTTTCAGAATTTGTGCCCATGCCATGATGAAAAGGAAGAGTGAAAATTATGATTTGGCAAATATTCATATTTTGTGACTAGGTTTCAAACTTTCAATCTTTCAATTACGGTTTGAGTTTTAATGCCAACCTGCTAGAAATATGTTGAGAACTCTACGCCCAAACAGGTCTGTTCATTCATGGAAACCCCACTAAAGTAGCAAGCCAATCTGGTGTTCGAAAATAGGTGACATCACTCGAGTGCAGCATAAGTTTACAGATGAGGCAATGGATGTCACACCTTTTATCAAGGATTGTTAATGGAGCTGAATTCTATTGTTGAAGACATTACCTACTGGTGTGAAGCAGAATTTGAGTTTTGATTCACTCATCCCTCAAAATATCAGCAATGTCATCTTAACTGTTTGAAAATAGGGTACGTCTGGATATAGTGAATGAATATGATGAATTATAATGATGATAAAATAAAAGTGTGCATTGTTTCAGAGCTATTAACCAATCTTTTCAGGTTAATTTACTTTTGTGAAGATTAAACTTAAGTTAAATTTATAGGGTGAAGCCTCATTTGAGGCAATGTTGGATTCTGACCTGCCTGAAGCCAGGCCAGATGAAAAAAGTCAGATGTTCCGTCGACGCAGTGCTGGAATCAACCTACAAAAGTGTATCCTTCTATCACTTCTAGATATACAGAGTGATACACCAGGGGATCGGGCCAAAACTGACACATATTTTATCAAGCGAAAACAATCCATCATGGAGGATAATATATTATGTGGCCTAATCAAGACACCCTTGATGCTGCTATCACATACATTTCTAACAGAAGTCATTTGCTTTTTTCCACCATTGGTCTGAATTCTCACATTTGCATGTATACCTATCATGATATTTTCATACATAATTATTTTATTTTCCATTTTAAAAAGTGACCCAGTACGTAAAGATATACATGGATATGATTGAGGTTAATACTTTTGACAGCATGTTGATAATTAAACCATGCACATTGAGTCATACATAGAGATGCTTCCTGAATGTCAAAAGATGAAGTAAGTATCACAAATGTTGTGTTTACTTAATAATTGTTGTAAATGGTGGTTTATGGGATCAGGTGGTCAGGCTTGGTGACTTGACCGATTGTCAGTCATCCTTACCCTGTGGTGTGGATCATTGCTCAGAATAATAGTCACTCGACTGTCTGGTCCAGAATCGATTTACTGGCCACTGTCATCATGGTCATATAGCTGAAATATTTGCAGCTTTAACTTGTGAAACAGAATAACAAACAAATAATATTATATAAGTATTTTATATTTTTTATCTTCTTGTGGGAAATGTATATAAACATGATAAACATGGACATAATTCCTTGTATAACTATTTCGTTTATTATGAGACAAACTGACAAGTTTTCCTTAGTTTCCTCCAGCTATACACATGCTAGACGAGGCAGTGGGAGCAACATCAAGTACAGCACGCGGACCACGCACACCTCGCAACACACTTCTCAAGTACAGCACATGTAAGTTTGACTTTGAGGTGGAATGGGTAGCCTAGAGGTGTAAGGTGCAACTATTCACCCAACTGCCAGATTCCACTGCTCACTGGTTCAATTTCCAGATTTACCAGTTTATTTTGGCCTTCATTTTTCACCATAGAATGAGCACAAGCCTGTTTGCCATCAAAGTTTTGCTAATGCTTAGAGTATCTTATTCAACAAGTATTTGACAATAGTGACAGAAGGTGGGCCAGGATTTTATCAGCACTAAATAATAATGTAGGTTTGGTGTTGATTAGTTTTTGTATATATCTCTATGTTGTAAATTATTTTGTGTATTCCAACTGAGAATGACAGGAGCAGAACAACATCCTATCTAAGTCTAATAATTGTGTCAATGTCATCTTCCCGAGGCAAGAGAGTTAACTGACTATAAAAGTCCAGTTTCCACCCTTGCGGAACTACGCTGGAATTATGGAGTTACATTTTGGCTTGACTAACGAGTCTATTCATCATCAAATCAAAATCGAGCAACGAAATCAAAATCCGGTTCGTAAACTGTCGTGCAGATTTTGGTTGATTGCAGGATTTACAAAGCATGTGCACCGCCAACTCGTCAACAGATATTTTCCATTTTTTTTCATGTTTTTAATCAAGGTGCTCATGTGATTTGATGCATTTTGCGATATGAGACCCGTTTTATCACAATATAGATCTTGATTATCGAACAGATCGTTCTGACTGGGTGCCGCCATTTTGTTTGAAGCAAATGTAAGTGATATGAGAAATGGAATCTGATTAATATATAGGAGAGGCTTAGAAGGGACAAAACTGGTAATAGCCACTAGTGTCGCTAAGATCGAGCCCAGTAATTGCAGCCTCGTTCGGCAAGGGAGGAAACTGGACTTTTAACATCAGTTATCTCTTTTGCCTTGGGAAGATGTGTCAATGTATACTACTCAAAACAAGTGGAGGATCACATGATTCTTTCATATTACTATAGGTAATGTCCCATGTCTTGACAGATGAACTATAGTAACATGAAAAAACCAAGTCGACCTTAACTTGTTTTGAGTATTATACATTTTGATGCTCAAATTCAATTCACAAAAAATGCAGGAAACAGGTGAATTGTCCAAGCTTTTGAATATGGTCAAACTAGATCCTTGCAAAAGTAATGATTTTGCATCTTACAAAGATCAAACTACAAATTTCAATTAAGCTTGTACTTTTAGCACTTTAATAATTCATCGTCTGCAGATGTTTGATTTTCGTTTCCTGACATTTGGCAACCCTGTTACTTAGAAATAGGAAAGTTGTAGTCGTGGTTGCCGGTTACAAGAAATAGGTGTTTAATCAGTTATACATTATTATGCTCACATTAACTAAACTTTTGTAGTCTGTGTGAGTTGGTTGTATGTTTGATTTCTGTTTGTGGGGGCACATTATGTCGTAATCACTGCAGGTGCTGCAATTTGCTGTCCCTAGTTTCCCTTAGCCATGCTAGACACACAATAGTCATTTTGAATTTGTCCTGATTATGATGCTTATGGTTCTCAGGTTTCATAGCCTAAGACCTTCATTACTTTCCCCCCACATCAAGCTGCCATGCCGAGGGATAACCGATATGAATTACTGTAAATTTTAAAATTAACCCGACCGTGAATTAAGTGCAAAAAACGCGAGTGGTCTTTGCTCACATTAACTAAACTTCGCATTGCATTTATGTCTCTAAAACAACCATCAACAACAACTGCGACAAAGATTGACACGACCCAACGCGCACTGATAGGCTTCATACACTTATCCCAGAGCTCCAGATAAGCTTCGTATCTGCATGATATACGCATCAGAAATGCAGAAATATGCAGTAAAATAAAATCCAAGCGTATCAAATACGCAACGAACATTACTGATACCCTACAAAAATAAAAATTGTGCGTATCATCAAAATATTGTGAAGTAACCCTGCGTATTCAATTAGCAAATCAGCAACTTATTTTGAAATTATAAACAGGCATTCCGTCAACCTTGCCAAACTCCACGATGACAGTTACATCATGATCATTTGCCATCACACTTTCTTGTGGGAGTATCGTGGTATTTTTTAGTCCTATAAAGCTCTTGAACCCACTCGACACCAGTTTGCAGGGACTAGATGAATAGTGTTTTTAAATATTTAACTTAAATACCCACATGTGTAAAAACTAGTGGGTAACAGAAATTTGAATACCCAGATAGAATTACTGATACCCAATGGTTTTAAAATGCATGGGTAAAATACCCACAACACCAAAAGCTTCTCTGGAGCTCTGCTTATCCTCATCTTTGGTCAGGGGTGTTGATTTGGAGACACATTAATATCAATATTTACAGTATATGAATACTGTTTAAGGCAGTGTTAAACCTAACTGACTATTGCTGTTGTAGACACCCCGACACATGTGTCCACCACGGAGAAGTATGATGTGTCACACATGTTCACACCAACACCCAGGAAAGGAGGTCAGGTGAGTGCTTCTGTAAGACATAGTTCACAAGTATCAGTGAATTTGAACTGAGCTTCCTGATTAAGAACTGACTTGATTTTTTAAGGACTATGGAATATATGTGGGTGTGTCAAGTTTATCTGCATTTTGTTGATTTACACAAGTCAGACCATAGTGCCTTTTCTGTTTGGATTGTGTCAAGCTCCTCACAGCGATAGCCCGTTTGCGGAGCTCTCTATACTATCGCAGCCACCTGTCAAAGCTCCCCACAGTGATAGGTGGTCACAGCCATACTTGGAGTTGAACTCGCAACCGACGGACCAGTATGCTAACAAACAAGCGATGACTGCTGTGATGCCGAATTCTCTTACCTTAACAAAATTATTTTCTTTGTTAATTTGAATATCTAATTCATTTCAACTATCATGTAATTGGTATAGTAAGAATTTAAGGGCGAATTAAGGTGATTCTCCGTTCGTCTGCAATCTCGAACCAATCTGATGAAACAAACAAACAGTTCATTTGGGATATTTGTCAGTCGTAAACCTTTTAAAAAATAAGTGTATTTGCATTCCCAAGGACATAAACAAAAGTATAAATGTTACTACATTTGGGGTTAGAGGGCAAATTTCAAGATTCGTGTAATGGCCGCGCCCACACTGGTGGCAGCGATGTTACCGAGAGTGTAACGAAGGTGTCACACGCTGAGAAGGAGCTTGGGATTGTGTATGCATGCAGAAAACAGAAATTGACTGTTAATGATTGGTTGGAATATCACCATGGTGATGATGTAAACATTTCTTGACAGATGGGCCACGACTCCTTTAATTCATCACTGTCAATGATTCGACCAGCACAGTCGAAACTGGGCACGGATATGGTGAGTTCATTTTCTATGTTCCTTCTTCAGCATGTTTATGCTGTTCAAGTGTAAATAATGAAAAGAATTATTTATTCTTGTTACAAAATGAGGAAGTGTTGATTGAAGATTTCTGTGGTGGAAAATTCAAAAATATGTAGAGTTTTCTTTTCAAACATTTGTCATAATAGTGTTGGTATTTCGCTTGTATTCCTTGTGACCGCCTCCGTGGTCTAGTGGAGAGATTGTCTGCCCAGAGAGTGAAAGGTCTGGATTTGATTCCGGCCGCGTCATACCAAAAGAAATTAAGGGATGGTACTTGTTCTTAAACTGTATGGCACTCTGCAGTAAGGGGCTAAAACAAGGACTGGTCGCTTTGGAGTCAGTATACTGTGTCTCATTGCACTATCCATGTTAAACTGCGCCATGGTATCTCAGTGAGCTAGCACTATTAAACAGCATTGGTCTGGACTAGTACAAGCTGCCATACTGACACACACATGCATGCACATTGCTATATAAGAGCAAAAACCTTGAACGCTACGTTAAGCCCCACCCGACCCATGAAGATCCGGGGTAGAATAGTCCTTCAGCAACCCATGCTTGTCGTAAGAGGCGACTTAAGGTATCGGATGGTCAGGCTCGCTGACTTGGTTGATGCATGTCATTGTATCCCAATTGCGTGGATCAATGCTCATGACGTCAAAAAATGGATTGTCTGGTCCGGACATGATTATTTACAGACTGTCGTCATATAGCTGGAATATTGCTGAGTGTGGCTTTAAACAACAAACAAACAAAATACGCCCCACTCCAACTCAACTCAACCTAACTCATGTTCCTTGTTCTCCAGTTTGACATGACAGAGGAGGTGACCAGCACCAATGTAGCGCTGCTGTTGGAGGACGACCCAGGCATGGCAGGTAGGCGATTACTGCCCTTTACCATCTTATACAAGTATGATGGCATGCAGGTAGGCAATTACTGCCCTTTACCATCTTATACAAGTATGATGGCATGCAGGTAGGCAATTACTGCCCTTTACCATCTTATACAAGTATGATGGCATGCAGGTAGGCAATTACTGCCCTTTACTATCTTATACAAGTATGATGGCATGCAGGTAGGCAATTACTGCCCTTTACCATCTTATACAAGTATGATGGCATGCAGGTAGGCAATTACTGCCCTTTACTATCTTATACAAGTATGATGGCATGCAGGTAGGCAATTACTGCCCTTTACTATCTTATACAAGTATGATGGCATGCAGGTAGGCAATTACTGCCCTTTACTATCTTATACAAGTATGATGGCATGCAGGTAGGCAATTACTGCCCTTTACTATCTTATACAAGTATGATGGCATGCAGGTAGGCAATTACTGCCCTTTACTATCTTATACAAGTATGATGGCATGCAGGTAGGCAATTACTGCCCTTTACTATCTTATACAAGTATGATGGCATGCAGGTAGGCAATTACTGCCCTTTACTATCTTATACAAGTATGATGGCATGCAGGTAGGCGATTACTGCCCTTTACCATCTTGTACAAGCATGATGGCATGCAGGTAGGCCCATGCCACCTTGGCTCCTTGCACAAAGTGATCTTAGCATTGAGATGATCACAACTCCCATTCTTTAACATGGACAGTTATGACTATGAAAGATCGCTTTGTGGCACCCGACACTGATCCCAATTTCAGTCACGTCATGTAATTAGCATTTGTTCTAGGTTATAGTGAGGTAGCTCAGTAATTAAAGTATTGTCTTGTCACGCCATATGCCCAAACTCATTTCCCCACTCAGGTACGCTGTCTAGCTTGATACAGCTGGCTAAGAGCAATGTCGAAGCAAACTCACTCAGTCTGCCTGGAATTGCCACAAGATTATTACTTATTCTATGTCAGAGAATGATTGGTCTTAATAGACATTCTGTAGCAAGCTCACTAAGGTGTAGGGGCACAGGTGGCCCTGTCGTCTAAAACGCCACAATTTGCTTTGCAGAGTTGTGTCCCTTGGACATGCCAGAAACCTATGATTGGGGTTTCTACGTTTGTCAGCACCATACTGGTGCTCGTGGGTTTTACCAAAGTGGTAAACGTCTGAGATCTGCATTACTTTAGGCTTTCCTCCAACATTAAGTTGACATGCCGTGATATAACTGGAATAGTGTTCAAAACAGCATTAAACCCAACTCACTCACTCACTCACTCACAGATCCATGTTGTCTTGCAGCCTCTGCGGGACTCTATCGGGACTTCGAGCAGTGCATGAAACATAACTCCGGTCAGAACAGTGTCCTTGACCTTCTGCTAGACTATGAGAATGTTTGCTCCGACCAAGTCATCATTCTAAGAAAACTTGCAATCAGGGCGACCAAGCAGCAAGACAGGTTTGTCAAGTTAGGATTATTAAAAATTGTGTGGGGAGCTGTTTTGTTTATCATTACGATTTGTGAATATCATATCATATCTTGAATACTACACTCCAAACTTATTTGTCCACCATACTGATGTGATTCATGTGAACCATGAATGTTTGGCAGGTCTACCTATATGATGTCTTTGACATGCAGCCAGATTCTTCTTCTCTAGACAATATATGATGTGAAGATGGCTGGGATAAGAACTCTTATTAAAAATATTATGGCCTTGGTGATAATTTTGAAATCTGCTCGTCTGTAATGAGATCTGTGTTTGTGATCAGTTACTGATGAATGAATGTCTATGTGTAGATTCCAGCGTACATTCGACACGTTTGAGCTGTTGGACAAGGAGAAGATGACATGGCAGCTGGTGCGGTCGTTGTACCGTGACCGCCTGGAGTGGGGCGTGACGGGGTCGGAGGACGATGAGGACATGATGGTGGACAAACCTCCCCCTGTGAGTTGGAACAAAATTAAGTTGGAACAATGTAACAGTAGCGAGAATCTTACCCGAGCATTGAAGTAGGTCATACTATCAAGAGACTACAGTGATACTTCTGGAATAATGCTGACTGCTTTGTAAACATTCATTCATTCATTCATTCATTCATTCATTCATTCATTCATTCATTCATTCATTCATTCATTCATTCATTCATTCACGCTGGGGATTATGGTTTAGAATTGGTCCCCAGCAACCTGTGCTGGTCGTGGGGCGGTCGGGTAGCCTAGTGGTTAAAGCGTTCGCTCATCACGCCGAAGACCCGGGTTCGATTCCCGACATGGGTACAATGTGTGAAGCCACTTTCTGGTGTCCCCCGCCGTGATATTGCTGGAATATTGCTAAAAGCGGCGTTAAACCATACTCACTCACTCACTAACTCGGTGTGGACCGATCATAATCACCTGAGAGAATTTTTTACTTAACCTGCATAATTATTGCAGGATAAGTAAACAAATGTAAAAAAATATTTAGATTTTACTGATTTACAGGCTGCCTTCATATATCTGGAATATTGCGCAGACAAACACTCACCATGCTCACCTACTGACTTTTTTATATCAGGTGTCGAGTCCAAGTGAGCAGAACGTCATGAAGACGTTGTTTGAGAAGGACAGCACAGTAAGGCAGAGTCAGGTAGGTCAGTCATATACAAATGTAGAATTGGTTGGTGGGGAAATTGTGTGGACGTCGTTTGAGAAGGACAGCACAGTAAGGCAGAGGCTGATAGGTTAGCCATATACAAATGTAGAATCAATTGTTTTGGGAAAATTGTGTGGACGTCGTTTGAGGACAGCACAGTCAGGTAGCTCGGCCATATACAAATGTAGAATCAGTGGGTGGGGGAATTGTGTTGTTTGAAAACCATGTAAACCCTTGTAAGGGTTATGTCTATATATATTCCAAGATTTGTGTTTTGCCCTCCCCAGCTGGTTGTGGACTGGTTAGAGAACTGTGCTGAAGATAGCCTGTCCATGTTGGCTGACAACGTCAAGTTCTTCTCGGATCAGGCCGTTGCATGGTGTGTACATGACATGGTTGTGTTTGCAACTTCAGACACTAAGCAAAGGTTTTAGAAGTTTACTAGCCTGAATAGTCTAACGTATGATTTATCATTTTTAAAAACAGTATAGGTGTGAAAAAATGCCAGTAGTTAGCATGTTACTTTCACATGAGACAGTCTACCTTTGACTCGTGTCCTGAGGAAACGTCCGTTTTCTCGACTCCTAGGTCATCCCATAATGCAACATATTTTATGTCATTCTGACATTTACTCTGCATTACCTATGTAATAGAAAACTTCACTGTTTGACTGACATTACATTAGGTACAGGACAAATACGAGTTAATTGCATACCAACAGTGACCGTAATTTAGTAAGCAGTGAATTTGAGTTATTTATTTTACTTTTACCCTTTTTCACCTCCAAAGAGGTTTGGTGACAGTTGTATTAAATACATTTTCTCCTGCTGACCAACTCTGACTGTGGTGTTATAAGTCTTAGTTCATTATGTCATCCATATTGTAGGGAGAACACTCTTCACCAGCTTCAGAACAAGGCCCGTGGAGTCCCCACCACTAGCGACAGACCCCTGGTGGACCAACTGGTACGTGAACAATACTGCTTGTATACGAGTTGCTGAGGTAGCCTAGCGGTTATAATGATAATAATAATAGGCTATTTATGTTGCTCATATCTCCACACCACACAGGGCGAGGTGAGGTGAAATGGGGTTTAACGTCGCGTCCAAGATTATTGCACTTATATAGCGACGTGCATGCACATGTATGTGTTTGTGTGGCCGTTTGTACTAGTCCGGACTGAGGCTCATTTTGAAAAATGTCACTTGCCCAAGGAGACACCGCATGTGTTACATGGGCTTCAGTGAGGGGCAAGACCGAAGCCCTAGAAACTCTCAGGAGTTAACCTGCCGAAACATGGTCACCCATCCAAAGACTCTTCACGACCAACGTTGCTTAAATTCACCTGATTTATGACCTGCGCGTTAAGGCCCTGCTCTGATTGCCCAGATGGGTAAAATGTGTGAAGCCCATTTTTTGTGACCCCATGGATATTGCTTGAATGTTGCTATAAAACTTGACTATCTTGCTCGTTCTTTGAATACATTCTCTTTCATAACAGTACAACATTTTAAACACAAGTCAGTATTTTTGTTCCTTTTTTGTGTGAAATGTCCAAATTTTCCCCTGCAAAGATGGAAAGCAGCTGATATTGATGGTTGGATATATAGAAGATGTGAAAGGTTGACACTGGTTCAGCTCTGGAATCTGCCACTAGCTGATATTGATGGTTAGATATATAGAAGATGTGAAAGGTTGACACTGGTTCAGCTCTAGAATCTGCCACTAGCTGATATTGATGGTTAGATATATAGAAGATGTGAAAGGTTGACACTGGTTCAGCTCTAGAATCTGCCACTAGCTGATATTGATGGTTAGACATATAGAAGATGTGAAAGGTTGACACTGGTTCAGCTCTAGAATCTGCCACTAGCTGATATTGATGGTTAGACATATAGAAGATGTGAAAGGTTGACACTGGTTCAGCTCTAGAATCTGCCACTAGCTGATATTGATGGTTAGACATATAGAAGATGTGAAAGGTTGACACTGGTTCAGCTCTAGAATCTGCCACTAGCTGATATTGATGGTTAGATATATAGAAGATGTGAAAGGTTGACACTGGTTCAGCTCTAGAATCTGCCACTAGCTGATATTGATGGTTAGACATATAGAAGATGTGAAAGGTTGACACTGGTTCAGCTCTAGAATCTGCCACTAGCTGATATTGATGGTTAGATATATAGAAGATGTGAAAGGTTGACACTGGTTCAGCTCTAGAATCTGCCACTAGCTGATATTGATGGTTAGACATATAGAAGATGTGAAAGGTTGACACTGGTTCAGCTCTAGAATCTGCCACTAGCTGATATTGATGGTTAGACATATAGAAGATGTGAAAGGTTGACACTGGTTCAGCTCTAGAATCTGCCACTAGCTGATATTGATGGTTAGATATATAGTAGATGTGAAAGGTTGACACTGGTTCAGCTCTAGAATCTGCCACTAGCTGATATTGATGGTTAGACATATAGAAGATGTGAAAGGTTGACACTGGTTCAGCTCTAGAATCTGCCACTAGCTGATATTGATGGTAAGACATATAGAAGATGTGAAAGGTTGACACTGGTTCAGCTCTAGAATCTGCCACTAGCTGATATTGATGGTTAGACATATAGAAGATGTGAAAGGTTGACACTGGTTCAGCTCTAGAATCTGCCACTAGCTGATATTGATGGTTAGATATATAGAAGATGTGAAAGGTTGACACTGGTTCAGCTCTAGAATCTGCCACTAGCTGATATTGATGGTTAGACATATAGAAGATGTGAAAGGTTGACACTGGTTCAGCTCTAGAATCTGCCACTAGCTGATATTGATGGTTAGATATATAGAAGATGTGAAAGGTTGACACTGGTTCAGCTCTAGAATCTGCCACTAGCTGATATTGATGGTTAGATATATAGTAGATGTGAAAGGTTGACACTGGTTCAGCTCTAGAATCTGCCACTAGCTGATATTGATGGTAAGACATATAGAAGATGTGAAAGGTTGACACTGGTTCAGCTCTAGAATCTGCCACTAGCTGATATTGATGGTTAGACATATAGAAGATGTGAAAGGTTGACACTGGTTCAGCTCTAGAATCTGCCACTAGCTGATATTGATGGTTAGATATATAGAAGATGTGAAAGGTTGACACTGGTTCAGCTCTAGAATCTGCCACTAGCTGATATTGATGGTTAGACATATAGAAGATGTGAAAGGTTGACACTGGTTCAGCTCTAGAATCTGCCACTAGCTGATATTGATGATTAGACATATAGAAGATGTGAAAGGTTGACACTGGTTCAGCTCTAGAATCTGCCACTAGCTGATATTGATGGTTAGACATATAGAAGATGTGAAAGGTTGACACTGGTTCAGCTCTAGAATCTGCCACTAGCTGATATTGATGGTTAGACATATAGAAGATGTGAAAGGTTGACACTGGTTCAGCTCTAGAATCTGCCACTAGCTGATATTGATGGTAAGACATATAGAAGATGTGAAAGGTTGACACTGGTTCAGCTCTAGAATCTGCCACTAGCTGATATTGATGGTTAGACATATAGAAGATGTGAAAGGTTGACACTGGTTCAGCTCTAGAATGTGCCACTAGCTGATATTAATGGTTAGATACATAGAAGATGTGAAAGGTTGACACTGGTTCAGCTCTAGAACCTGCCACTGTGTTTTTTGAAGGAGTGAACTTTACACCAGTATGCTGCCCCTGTTCCCTCTGTGTGGCGTAACCTGACCACGTTCAGCATCGTTCACACTGACCGCAAGACTACCAAACCCCCAGTAGATGATCAGTTCAGCTCAAGAACCTACCAGGGTGCTGTTGTACATAGCGATCTTAGCGCTAAGGTGATCATGACTCACATACCTTCACATAAACTTGCAACAGTCATAGGGCTAGGGTTGCTTTGTACAACAGCACCCAGGACATTCACTGAAAGAGTATACCTTGTCCAATGTGCTGTCTGTGACCCGAGTTTCTCCATGTTCCACTTCAGGACCCGGATGCTCCGATCCGTCAGAGTAAGATCCTGGACGACCTGGACAAGGAGGACGAGACCCGACTCCTGCAGCATCTGTTTGCCTGTATCCGGGCTGGGCAGCTCGACAAGGTAGCCTGCTGCCTCCCTATTTCTTACTCTGGTCATGTTGGTCACCAGTAAGCTGCGAAGCACCATTTTTTATTTCTACCAAATGCAAACTATGTATACAGTAGGTTAAGCTGCAAACAATAGGGTACAAAAGGTTTAATGACGAAACAAACTAAATAAAGAGGAAGAGAATGGATGTCGACTTCTTTATTATGAGGAACATAACGTTTCGGAGTATATACGCACGCCTTCATCAATTCACCTGATGAAGGAGTAAGAAGTAAATATATACTCTGAAACGTTGTGTTCCTCGTAATAAAGTTGACATCCATTAAGTCTTCCTCGTGTGTATCACTTCTAAATGCCTTTCGAAGACTTGAAACTATACTAACACTGCACAGATGGCCACGATGACATCATGTTCAGATGACAAACGTTTTTGGTCTTTGATAGTTTCTTGTGTATGGTAACTCTAAATCATACTCTGCATAGTGTTTCTAGTCTTTGATGTATTGTTTAATCATGTTTGTGTGTGGCAGGCTCAGGAAGTGTGTCAGACGTGTGGTCAGTCGTGGCGAGCTGCAACACTAGAGGGCTGGCGCTTGTTTCATGACCCCAACTATGAGAGCCTGGGTCACGACGGTCAGATCGGCGCTGTGCAGGGCAACTCCTACCGCGATGTGTGGAAGTTGGTGTGCTGGAACATGGCGCAGGAGGTAGGTTCAGCCTGTCATACTTTCTCTATAGATACAAGTTTTCTACCATTCTGTATATCTTTGTACATCTGTCTGTATCCCTACACAGCCCCTGGATCCATTCCCGTGGTTTTCACGGCCAATTAGATTTGCTCAGTCTAACAGTTTTTGATTTGCTGCAGCCACATGTACTGCTTACGAGTTATATGTCTTTGTCCCCATGTTTCATTTAGAATTATCTTTCCTATCGAATACTCCAGTCTTCTATACCCGACCCGTTATTCATGTTATTAGGTACTTAAGAATCCGTCACAGACAACCTTGGGAATCCCCGATCCGAAAATAGTGCCGGCAATTATTTTAGCCAGCCAGTGCGAAGACACAGCTTCTCCACTCTCAGCCAGCCCATCAATGTGTGAATAAAAATAAACCACTTCGAATATTCAACAGCTGGCGATTGGAGAACAAGCCCTGTTATTGGTATTACCAGGACGTACTGTTTGTTTCCGCAGTCCAAGTTCAACCTGTACGAGAAGGCCATCTACGCCGTGTTGAGCGGGAACCTGAAGGCCGTGCTGCCCGTGTGCCGCACGTGGTACGACTATCTGTGGGCGTACTACAAGGTGATGGTGGATGTGAAGGTTGAACAGGAGCTGCGTCTCAACAGCATGGCTGATCGTCTGCAAGAGGACATGCCTAACGAGTACTGGGAGAAACTGTGAGCACTAGGAGTGTAACGTTATCTTGAACTATTTGGGGGGCACGAGTGGCCCAGTCGTCTAAGGCGCCGCTATTCGCTGTGCAGAGTTGCGTCCCTTGGGCACGCTAGAAACCTATGATTGTGGGTTAGAATTTTGGTTCACCCGATTATGTTTCTAGGTTTGTCAGCACCATACCCGTGCTCGTGGGTTTCACCGAAGTGGTAAACGTCTGAGACGTGCATCACTTCGAGCTTTCCTCCCACATTAAGCTGACACGCCGCTACATACTGGATTACTGTTAAAAGCAGCGAATCACGGCGCCTTAGACGACTGGGCCACCCATGCCACCTGTCCCTAGTCCTGGTTAGCATTATGTAGGGATTGTTTGTTTTAAAACTTTTTTTTTTTTCCAAAACTGTATCATGTTCCATTGGGATGTTTGGGAGTCTTGTGTGTCGTTTGTTCTGTTTTTTAAATTAATTGTACACTTATTAATGATCTTTGAATCTCAAATACTGCATACATTTGGACCCTCCCCTTTCAAAGTTCTTGTGTCATTCCTTTAGATATATAGCCAGTCCAAGACGTACTATCTTCACTTGATCTATTTTTATTGTTTTATTTTTAAAAGAATGTGTTTTTGACTCATCTTATGTTACATGCCGACATATCTAATTGTAAGAGCTGTGTCATGTGGTAGAAAGGAAGAATACTTGACTGTAATAGAGTCGGCTGCTTTTAAGTCGCATTACTTCAAGTCCTGGGACCATCAATGAGTTATCCCTAGTTTGAGTGCCCCATGGAGATGCCGGGTTAGAATTGGTCCCCAGCAACCTATGCTGGTCGTAAGAGTGACTTGGCTTGGTGACTTTGTTGATGATGTGATCATTGCTCACAATATCATCCACTCAATTGTCTGGTCCAGATTATTGACAAACAGCCATCATACAGCTGGAATACTGCTGAGTGCGGTGTGGTGGAACAAACAGGCATAGTGTGTGGCAAGTGGTGTGCCAGTATGTACCATAGTGCTGATGAGTAATTATGCCGGGGTCCCTGACAAAAAGTTCAAGTTGACAAGACAACTTTGAAGTGTTATGCAGCCTTTGTGCTTGACATTTGTCCAATGAACCAGGGTTGGTTGTGTAGCCTAGTAGTTTGCTTGTCACGCCGAAGATCAGGGTTCGATTCCCTACATGGGTATAATGTGTGATGCCCATTTCTGGTGTTCCCTGTCATGATATTGCTGGAATATTGCTAAAAGCAGTGTAAAAACCATACTCACTCACTCACTCACTCACTCACTCACTCACTCACTCACTCACTCACTCACTCTATGCTTGTCGTAAAAGGCGACTAACGGGATCGGGTGGTCAGGCTCGCTGACTTGGTTGATACATGTCATTGATCCCAATTGCGAAGATCGATGTTCATGCTGTCAATCACTGGATTGTCTGGTCCAGACTCGATTATTTACGGACTGCCATCATATAGCTGGAATATTGCTGAGTGCGGCGTAAACAACAAACAAACAAAACAAACAAAACTCACTCAATAAACCATACTTTCTTTGTTGTAGCATAGAACCCAGTCAAGTGTTTCAAGATATTGAAGCAAGTTTTGATGAGGTAATAGTTGTAATGTACTTAATCATGCTATGGCAATTTACACCTTAATCGATGCTAGATGTTTCATAAGCTGATCGGTTTTCAGCCATATGTTGTAACCAACGCAAATGTGTCCGTATTTTAATTTAACAACTTCTGAAACCCACGTTGATCAGATTTCTGAAATCGTTTATAATGAAGAATTACATCATTTACTAAAAACCATGCCCCTAATAAATCTCTAGTTATGTTTTACCATATTTTGATGCCATGCTATATTGTCTGCTTCTGCCAGTTGGTGAGGTCAGAGTCCCAGAAGTGGTTCCATGTCATACAGAAATACATCATCCTGGGAGATGTGGATGGTGAGTTGACACTACATCAATACCTGGTCACCAGTCACTTAGAATCCCTGCATTTACGACCGCCTCCGTGGCCTAGTGGTAGAGCATCAATGCCTCGTCACCAGTCACTTAGAATCCCTGCATTTACGACCGCCTCCTTGGCCTAGTGGTAGAGCATCAATGCCTCGTCTCCAGTCACTTAGAATCCCTGCATTTACGACCGCCTCCGTGGTCTAGTGGTAGAGCATCAATACCTCGTCATAGTCACTTAGAATCCCTGCATTTACGACCGCCTCCGTGGTCTAGTGGTAGAGCATCAATACCTCTTCACCAGTCACTTAGAATCCCTGCATTTACCACCGCCACCGTGGTCTAGTGGTAGAGCATCAATACCTCGTCACCAGTCACTTAGAATCCCTGCATTTACAACCGCCTCCGTGGTCTAGTGGCAGAGCGGAAAGTCAGGGTGGATCCCTGGCCAAGTCTTACCCAAAGATGTTAAAAGATAGTACTTGTTAACATGCCTGGTGCACGGCATTAAGGACTGGTCAGCTCGGAGTCAGCATACTGTGTCTGAGTGGGATATTCATGTTAACCTGAGGCATGGTATCTCGGTGAGCTGGCACTATAAAGTTGGCATTAGGCCAGAATAGTAATCTATGTAAAAATGTACATGTAATGTAAGCACACACACATGTCGCTAGAATCTCTGCATACTGGCATGTGCAGTTGTCAACTAGGATGGCTAACTTGCATATATATCTTTAGCTCTTTTTGCAACCTGCCAAGTGGCTTGGAACAGCTTGTAAAGCGTATGTTGGGATTCTGGCTTAGTATAGGTCAACCTATATGTCGTTAGAGGTGGACAAATGGATTGGTTGGTCAGCGTCAGTGGCTTGGCTGATTGTTTATTATCATTCACCAACTGCAAGGGACATTGCTCATGTCAGTCACTGGTCTGTCTGGTCCACAATCATTTATTTACAGGCCACTGTCGTATAGGTAGAATACTGCTCAGTGTGGCATAAACAACAGACAGTCAAGAAAGTCATGCTTTTTAAATGAAATGCTACCTAATTCCTATTGGAAAGTAACCTGTGAAGATCCGGGTTGGAATAGGTCTTCAGCAACCCATGCTTGCCGTAAAAGGTGACTGACTATGTTTTTCGTAAGAGGCGACTAACGGGATTGGGTGGTCAGGCTCGTTGACTTGGTTGATGCATGTCATCGTAAGAGGCGACTAACGGGATCGGGTGGACTTGCGGTCCCAATTGCGTGGATCAAAGCTTATGATGTCAATCACTGGATTGTCTGGTCTAGACGCATTTATTTACAGACCGTCGTCATATAGCTGGAATATGGCCGAGTGTGTCGTTAGACAACAAACAAACATATGGGAAAATAAGATGGCTACCAATGTTATTGACGTGTTCATGTTGATGTGTTGTCAGCCCTGATAGAGGTTATGTACAACTGGGTGAGGCGAGACCGCCAGAAACTGCCGCCACATCTAGTCAGGTTTATGGCCCACCTGGTGCTGTTCCTGCGAGCCATTGGACACAGCACAAAGGTCAGTGGTCACACCACATCACTGCAATTAATATATTGAATGTTAGAATGAAAGTAGCATTGATTAAATATATCCATGGTAGCATAATATATTTTGAGTTTGAGAAAACATTTTCTGGGATTTTCGTTGTTGTGAAGCAATTTTACCTGCATCACTTTGGGCTTTTTTCCCATAGTAAACTGCTACACTATGACTGATACTGCTTTACAGAACAGAGCCTCAATCATCCACTCACTATCCCAAGAAAATCTCGGGGTAGAATAGGTTTTCAGTAACCCATGCTTGTCGTAAGACGCGACTCATGGGATTGGGTGGTCAGGCTGGCTGACTTGGTTTGTTGCATGTCATCGTATCCCAGTTGCATAGATCAGTGCTCATGATGTCAATCACTTGATTGTCTGGTCCAGACTTGATTATTTACAATTACAGTCCGCAGTCATATTAGTGGAATATTTCCGAGTGCGGCGTTAAACAACAAACAAACAAACAAACATTCACTCACTGTAGTGCCATTCATGTTCACATTCTGGCAGACCCGTAAAGATCCGGGGTAGAATAGGTCTTCAGCAACCCATGCTTGCCGTAAAAGCCGACTATGCTTGTCGTAAAAGGCGACTAACGGGATCGGGTGGTCAGGCTCGCTGTCCTGTCTTTTTACGCATGCGGCGTTAAACAACAAACCAACCAACCAAATAACATTCTGGCAAGTGTCAGTAGACCACCTCCTTCAGTTGCATCTGTGACACGTAGATGATACCGCTGTGTGTTTGTCAGGAGGAGCTGTGCACCACCATCCTGGAAACATACGTGGAGGACCTCATCAACAACAAACACAAGCATCAGGTGGCGCACTACGTCGCCACTCTCCCAAAGGAGTCCCAGGTCATCTGGTACGCCAAGTTTCTGGAAGGTAAGAGCAGTCCTGTGACACCTCAGGCTAGCAGTCATGCATGGGTTTTCACAAGATGTTATAGGGGTAGAGGTGGCCCAGTTGTTGGTGCTGTATTACCATCTGAAAGGTTAGAACAAAACAAAATGTACCGACCTGAAGTAACATCTTTGTCTCATTTTGGGAACCTTATGTGATTTGTCACAGTGGGCCAAGTGGTATAAGGCATAGCCGGGCCAGGATCCTCGTTACATTACAGGTATTGACAATGTTACAATGTACAGGTATTGACGATGTTACAATGTACAAGTTGACAATTTTACAATGTACAGGTATTGACGATGTTACAATGTACAGGTATTGACGATGTTACATGTACAGGTATTGACAATGTTACAATAAAAGGTATTGACGATGTTACAATGTACAGGTATTGATAATGTTACAATGTACAGGTATTGACGATGTTACAATATACAGGTATTGACAATGTTACAATATACAGGTATTGATGATGTTACAATGTACAGGTATTGACGATGTTACAATGTACAGGTATTGACTATGTTACATGTACAGGTATTGACAATGTTACAATGTACAGGTATTGACAATGTTACAATATACAGTATTGATGATGTTACAATATAAAGGTATTGACGATGTTACAATGTACAGGTATTGACAATGTTACAATATACAGGTATTGTCAATGTTACAATAAAAGGTATTGATGATGTTACAATGTACAGGTATTGATAATGTTACAATGTACAGGTATTGACGATGTTACAATATACAGGTATTGACTATGTTACATGTACAGGTATTGACAATGTTACAATGTACAAGTATTGACGATGTTACAATGTACAGGTATTGACAATGTTACATGTACAGGTATTGACAATGTTACAATAAAAGGTATTGACGATGTTACAATGTACAGGTATTGACAATGTTACATGTACAGGTATTGACAATGTTGCAATATACAGGTATTGACAATGTTACATGTACAGGTATTGACGATGTTACATGAACATGTATTGACAATGTTACAATATACAAGTATTGATAATGTTAGATGGACAGGTATTGACGATGTTAAATGTACAGGTATTGACAACAAGGAGGAGAGGCAGCATTGTCTGCAGCTCGCAGAGGAGGAGGGGCTCAATATCCCCCTCATCACCAAGACCGTTGTTGAGAACATCCGCCATCGGGACTCAGAGGTCAAGGTCAAAGCAGACATGTCTGTCGAGACCGCAGTGTCAGAGGTCAGTAGCTGGTGAAATGGTGATAGCAGCTTAAGGAAGAGCACAGGGGCCAGTTCCACAAAGGGATCTTAGCGCTAAGTTGATCGTAACTCCCTTACTTAAGCATAGGCTTAAGATCATCGTAGCAGAAAGATCGCTTTGTGCAAGTGGGCCCTGGCACTAATACCTGTACCTGATGTGTGTTGTTATGGTAGGTCGAAGAAAGAATTTGCCCTTACCTTTGAATTCGGACCAATCCTTTCATCTAAGACCCAGGTTTGATTCCCAATTTGATACAATATTTGAAGCATGTCGTTAGTGTCCCCTGCATACTTTAGGATAATGCTGAAAGTGGCACAAAATCCACTCAACACCAGAAAATCGATTGACAGATCTCCCGTACAACACACCTTGTGCAGATGCCAAGCTAGAACAGGTTACCGCTCTGTCACATGTTGTCTGTAGTGTCCGACCTGGTGGACAGTGTGTCATCATACACCAACATAGTGGATTGTAGCTTGTGCCTTTCTGGTCAAGGCTGAAGTGTTGCTAACTATGGCATAACACAACATTCAGTCAACTAATTCCCCATTCCTCTATGAAACACATTCTTGGTGTATCGTCCCATTGTGGGACCACACTCTACAGGGAGTTATCTAGACATATTCAGAGGCCGATATTCAACCCCAAGTCTGCAGACAATGTCAGTAAAACCTCCAAGTTTGTGTTATTCCAGTAGTGTTATGGCTTGGTAGAAGAGGCTTGTGTCTGCAGCTAGGGCAAATAGAGAGGAAGAGGTTTTAGGTTTAGTTTCAGATAATAAGAATTTTGAAGAAAATGTCTGCAAAGGGTACTTAGTTTATAAATCGAGATATATCCCGGCTATTGTACGAGATTGAGGTACGAAAGTCTTTGAAAGGCATTCAGATTGTCTATTGCTATTCATCTATCAGCACCAATTATCTGTTGGCTTCCCTTGTTAAGTTTCCACCTTTGTTATCTTATTACTTCTGTCGTTCTTACAGGTACATATGCTCTCTGTCTCATGGCATTCATTCACCTCATGAAGCATACGTATATACTCCTGAACGTTGTGTTCCTCATAATAAAGAAGTGGACATCCATAAATTCTCTTCCTTAACTTGGAGGTAGTTCTTGTTGAAACTTTTATTGAGCTTTCTCTCTTTTCAGGAGGATCGTAAGAAGATCGAGGCAATAGACTGGCTGGTGTTTGACCAGTCGCAGCGGTCGGAGGCTGTGAAACAGGCCAACGCAGTCATGAGGTCATTCATCGGTGAGATATCAGAGGCTTATGTTCTCATTGCTACCTCTGATACCCTTGAGTGAGATGCATGTATGCTTCATCCTTGTGAATGAGCTCCTCCCTAGTTATGCCCACAGTGGATTCAGAGCGGAGTAAGAGTGATCAACAAGGCTCATGGGACTGCTTTTGAGAGATTTTTTTATTTTACTTTTTAACAATTGGCAGTTTCCTTTAAGTTTATAACAATACAAAACAAAACAAAATGTTCACAATTACGTCACACAACTGCACACAGACCAGTCATAACAAAGCCTAGTTATGCATGTTAGGCTGGAAAAGAATTGCTGACTTTTGAAAATATATTGCAGATGGGCAGTGGGTTTTTGGGGGGTTTTTTTTTGCTTGTTCAAACTCATGTGTAAGCAAATAAACAGTTGTGTACTATCAATCTGGGAAAGGGCCTTCCTACGTAAACAAGCATATAAACTATTATTGTTGCCATGACCATAACACAAGAAGCGCAGTAAAGCAGTGCACATGTAAAGGGAAGTAACTTTGTGCTATATTGGATCACATTTTCTTTTATGAAGTATCAGGATTTTTTATTATTTTTTAAAATGAAAATATAAACTAAACGTATCAGGCGTGGATTATGTATTAAAATATCTTCAGTTTTGTCAAATGAGAAAAAAAGATCAGTTTAAATTACATTAAGTAATACGTTACCACTGTTATACCGAGGCTGTTGTCTCCCACAACTGCTGCTATAGCGAAATCTACCACAGAGATCTCAATTACCTCATGCAGCACGTGCGTAGCCACCCAGCTGCCATGTGACACCCTTCACTCTTGTCTCCTTCGTCTGCTTAGCAAGACGTGTTTTCTCCTGCTGAAGCGTTTTTTTGAAGATTTGGTGATATTTATTATAGTTTATTCTCTAATAAACTGTGCTTTTATGGGGCGTTGCGGTAGCTACGCTTGGTTATAATTTTCCCGCCAAACGGGAAATTTTTCCCGCCCTTTTTTCTATATACTTGCGGGGTTCGCGTATGCACGTTGTGTTTTACGTTTCCCCTGTTCTTGTATGTTTTGGGGGTTAACATCACTTATTTCTTTAATAAAAGTTATATGTGTATGTTATATGTTCACATTGCTCGTTTATTTTCTTGTGAAAATGTTCGTTTGTGAATCATTGTGGTGCGTGCGTTGTGACCATGTTTTGTTCTTTGTTTATAGCAAACAATCAATGTCTGACATGGATATGTCCCCAGTATCCACCCCCTCTATCCCTGCTCCTCGGAGTTGTGGGGTGTGCAGAAAGTTTTTGTCGTCCCGGGATCCCCAGGATCGTTGCCCGCGGTGCAGGGTTCCTTGCGGGGACACCCGGTGCATCCTGTGCGAAGGTCTGGGGCCTGCGGAGTTTGAGCGGTACCGGCTGTACGTACAGTCCGTCTCCAGGTGGCCGGTTCGTCCGGTCGGGGTCCCCGTGCGGGTACCACCTCCTCGGCTGCGGCGGATCCCCTCGCGGCCCTCGGGCTGTCTGGGGATTCCGTCGCCGCATTGTTGTCGAAACTTGTGGTCTCCAAGCTGGCGGCCTTATCGCAAGAAAGGCCGCTGGCTGTTCCGTCCCCGGCCTCTTCGGTGGCCGCGGGGTCCACCGGTAAAGCGGCGGATCTCTTGGCGGCCCGTGTGCTGTCCGGGGATTCCGTCGCTGCATTACTTGCATAACTTGTGGACTCCAAGCTGGCGGCCTTATCTCAGGATAGGCCGCTGGCTGTTCCGTCCCCGGCCACTTCGGTGGCCGCGGGGTCGGACGCGGGGTCCACCGGTACGGCGGCGGCTCCCGTGGTCACCGGTCCTTCCCCCGAACTGTTGCTCCCGCTATCGGTTTAGGACCGCGTGGCCATGGTTTATGACCTCTTTGAGGACATGCCCCGGCCGGTACCGCGGGGAATCCACGACTGTGGGTTCCTCCGAGGTATACGATGAGTCTTCCGACACGGCTTTCCCCGCATCAACCTTGCTGCGCGGTTTCAAGCCTTCCTTGGAGAACGCCTTCGCGGCGGCCTCCGGTCGGGGTCTCCCGTTGCCTCCGACGTCGTGGAGAAAGGGTTTCTTCCCGGTACATGACCTTGCCTTTCCCGAGGCTGGTCCTACCGCGGAGGCCCATGTTGAGCGGTTGGGTGTCCGTGCCCCACCGGCTGCTACGGTAACGCAAGCTACCTTGCACCAGCTGGACGCCCTCGCTCGGCACTCCATGTCTCACGGAGACACTTACTTGGCTGCAGCGGCCCGTCTGGTCGAAGGTTCTCCCACGGACCGTGACCAGCGCATTTACAACTGCCTGCTCAGTTTAAATGCTTCCCTGGAGTACGTTGCCGAGGACTCTCGGCACACACTTGCTCTTGTTGGGTCCCTGCATAGGCGCCTGGGTGCCGCTCCTAACCGGAGCGCGCCCCAGGCTGCTGCGGCCGGTAGGTCTAAGGGGTCGGGTTCTTCTTCCTCTGGGAAGTAGCCCCGCCCTGAGGGCTCCGGTATGGGCAATCAGCTGCCCTTTCGCGGGAAGACGGGGAACTGGGGGAAGCCCAAGTCGTCGACGGACGGCATGGGCCCCTCCAGGTGACTCTCATTGGAGGGGTTCGTATGCCGACAGCGCCAACTTCGGTTGGCCCTTAGGCGAACCCGAGTCACTTGGCCCTGGACAGTTGCGCCTGCCGCAACCTGTCAGGGCCCCCTCTCCTTCCCCAGTGGGAGCCAGACTCCAGACTTACTGGGAGAATTGGGAACAAGTGTTCGACGACCCGTGGGTGGTCAACACGATTCGGTACGGCTATCGGCTTGATCTCAAAGCGAATCCGCCGCTCACCGTTGCCCCGTTGGCAGGTTTCGATTCGGAAACCGATCTTCCCATCCTCGCCGATGCCATCGGCAGGTTGGTGGAGAAGGGGCAGTACGGGAGTTAGCTCTACCAGAAATAACACCGGGGTTTTACTCCAGGATATTTCTCGTTCCCAAGTAGGACAGTGCCGAACTCAGAATGATTCACACGTCCGCTCCCTGGCTGTTCACCCGGTTAACCACCCCCATAGTGGGGTTCCTCCACAGGAGGGGTGTCCGGTACTTTGCGTACCTGGACGACTCGCTAGTAGCAAATCGAATGACGGACACCCTGTCACGCCATCTCGTTTTCGCACGTCGGCTCTTGGAGCAATTTGGGTGGATTATCAATCTCCCCAAGAGCGAGTTAACCCCTTCTCAGAACTTGCTGTTCATCGGAGGTCGGTTCAACACGGTGTCCCATCGCCTCTTTGTCCCCCCAGACCGGTGGCACAAAATTCAGGCGTTGATTGCCAAAGTCTTAGCGGTGCAACAGACTGTTCACTTTTGGGAACAGCTGTTAGGGCTACTTGTATCAGCCCAGGACTGCACCGCACGGGGTCGTCTCCAACTCCGCCCGCTGCAACGGTTTTTAATCCAGTTGTTAGCAACGGAGGTGAACAGTGCGACCGTCGCCCTCCCGGATCGGCTCCGACCGCATCTGGAGTGGTGGACGGTCCCTTACATTGTCTTATCAGGAGTCTCTATGCGGCCCTACCGGGCCACGTTGACCCTGTATACAGACGCCTCTCTAGTGGGCTGGGGCGCCCATCTAAAGGGGGAGGTGAGCTCGGGGATGTGGTGCGTAGACGAACTAGGTCTTCACATCACTTGTCTCGAGTTCAAGGCAGTGATCAACGCAGTCAATCACTGGAAGCATCGTCTCGTCGACGCCCGGCTCATGCTGGCGACCGACAACACGACGGTAGTGTCCTATGTGAACAAACTGGGGGGAACCCACAGTCACTCGCTACTCGATCTCACGTTCGAGTTTTACGCTCTGGTGGACAGTGTCCCGTGCCAGATACGCGCCCGTCACATCCCAGGTGTGCGGAACGTACTGGCCGATGCTCTATCGAGGCCTCAGGATCCAAGCCCCACAGAGTGGATGCTGAACCCAGTAGTGTTTCAGTGGCTGTGCGAACGTTTGGGTCGTCCGATGGTGGACCTGTTCGCAACGCGGTTCAACAATCAACTCCCGTTGTTTGTATCACCAGTCCCGGACCCGAGGGCCATCGATCACGATGCTCTCGCGTTAGACTGGACGGGCTTGGTCGCTTATGCTTACCCGCCGACAGCGTTGATACCACACATTCTAAGCCGGCTCCGAGGAGTTCGCTGTCGAATGTTACTGATCGCGCCCATGTGGCCGAACAGATCGTGGTACCCCGACTTGCTGACCCAGGTCACGCAGTCGCCACTTCCACTGCCTGTGAGACCGGATCTCTTGATCCACCCTCACACCCGTCAGCTTCATCCAAACGCAGGGCAGTTCAATCTGCATGCGTGGATGTTGTCACCGAGCGTCTGAGGAGTAAAGTTTTTTTCTCGCCGGGCGTCTCGGGCATACGTTAGTATGCATCGTGATTCTACCCAGAAGGTGTATAATGCACGTTGGGTTATTTTCACGAAGTGGTGTTGTAAACATCACATTCATTCGCCAGATAAGGTATCTGTGCAGGATATTGCTCGTTTCATGTCTCACTTGCGAGAGACCCGGAAACTCTCCGGGGGTTCCATTGCCAACTATGTCTCGTCCGTTGCTACGGTACGGGACGTTGCTATGGGTACCAGTCTCTCCAAAGAGCCGGTGATACGGGGTATTATCAAGGGTTTCAAACAGCACGATCTTAAGAAGGGCCGCCTTCGGGCACCGGCCTTGGATCTTTCCCTAGTGTTGCAATCACTTACGGAAGCTCCGTATGAACCCTTGCATAGTGCTTCGTTCCGGCATGTGACTTGGAAAACAGCATTTCTCCTCTCCTTTGCCACGGCGGCACGTGTATCCGAAATTCATGCACTCGATGTCGCCAAGGTACGATTCGATAGGGGTGACGAAGGAGCGGTCCGCCTGGGCCTGCTCATGGGCTTCGTCGCCAAGAATCAGAGAGTCGGGCAAACGGAGAGAGAATTCACTGTAAGATCACTCAAAGAAATCTTACATCCTGCTGATACTGAGGACAGAGCGCTGTGTCCGGTTAGGGCCCTTAAGTATTATCTTAAGGCTTCGAATGAACGTAGACAAGGGCGTGACCGTCTGTTCATATCGTGTAACCCTAATCGCACGGTTGACATAACTCGCAACTCGATTGCGTTGTGGCTTCGTTCTGTCATCAATCTGGCGTACCGGTCTCGGGGGTTACCGGTAGCGGGGTCAAACCCGCACGAGATCAGGGCGCTAGCGGCTACATTTGCCCTACACTCGAATATCTCTGTTCGCAGAATATTACGAGGTTGTTACTGGCGTTCTGACTCGGTTTTTGCCAATCATTACCTCAAACAGGTCGCTGATGCCGTCGTGGAGAGTGTGCACCGTCTTGGCCCGCGGATCACGGCGCAAGCGGGCACCTAAGGGGTGTGCCCAGCGCAATTCCGAACTCCTCAGGCGTCTGACCTTGCACGGTGGTCAATCTGGGTCGACTCCAATGTTCCCACTGCCGTGGGTACAGGAGTTGGGGTCCCGCAAACCAGCGCACTCACACCACAGGTGAGGGCGGCTTTTTGTGTGCTTTGTCCTTATTTGTATTTTGACAATTATGTCTTTAATTGTCTGTCGTGTATCCCAACCTTGTGATGCATGCTTACAAATACTGGAATTAGGTCACGCGCCTAATGCATACTTTAAGTAGGCTTGCTCTGGGATATACGGTCTGAATGAAATTAATTTCCCTCTTTTCGACTGTTTAACCTGATCTAAGATTAAGCTCACGCGGATACAGTGTTCTCATCCGCTGCGGCGATGAAATACCTATCCAGTGGGGCCGTTTGGAGTCACCAATCGTTTTGGCAATGACGATTGAGCCTTACGGTATGCGCTTGACAGTGCTTTGGTATTCCTATAGGGTAACACCTAGCTAGGTGCATGCGCATCGAGTGCTTCCGCCTTGGTGTTTACTTCCGCTGGTCGGAAGGAACGCTAGCAGTCAGGATTCGGGTTGTAGGTGCTCCCCACCGCCTACTGTGGTAGTCAGCCTCGGTATAACAGTGGTAACGTATTACTTAATGTAATTTGTAGAATTTTCCTATTCGGAATATTCTATAAGTAATACGTTACCACTGGGCTGCTGCCCGCCCGTCCGTCCCCCGAGCACTTGCTCTCGCAGGAGACAAGAGTGAAGGGTGTCACATGGCAGCTGGGTGGCTACGCACGTGCTGCATGAGGTAATTGAGATCTCTGTGGTAGATTTCGCTATAGCAGCAGTTGTGGGAGACAACAGCCTCGGTATAACAGTGGTAACGTATTACTTATAGAATATTCCGAATAGGAAAATTCTACAATTTTTAACAATGAAATAAGCACCTCAATAATGAGTTATAATCCCATTACATCTGTACCAAGAGGTCAGATAAGTTTATACGGTTGTCTGATGTTGGACTATGTATATCCTAGTTGCTTGCGCTTGTGGGACTATTACTGGTACGGATCCATATGTCTCATTGAATCTTTGACCCTTAAAGATCTGGGTTAGAATTGGTCTCCAGCAACCCATGCTTGCTGTAACATGTGACAATGCTTGTCATAAGAGGCGACTAACGGGTTCGGATGGTCAGGCTCGCTGACATGGTTGATTCATGTCATCGTATCCCAATTGCTTAGATTGATGCCCATGATATCAATCACTCGATAGTCTGGTCCAGAATCAATTATGTGCATACCACCATCATATAGCTGGAATTTTGCCGAGTGCAGCATTAAACAACAAACAAACAAACACGGAATCTTTGTTGAAATGAGACTTGTGTGTTTTGCAGCTGTGAAGAAGCATGTAGCTGCAAGAGAGGTGTTCGACAAGCTGCCGGCCGACTCGGTGGACGTCATCTACAGAATCTGGCTCTCCAAGGTAACCCAGAACCTCGGGGTACTGTCAGTAGGAGATGTTCTTGAGTCTTTGACACTGTCCAGGCATGATGGGCATGCTGTTCTTGCTTGTGGGGCGGTCGGGTAGCCTCGAGGTTAAAGTGTTCGCTCGTCATGCCGAAGACCCGGGTTCGATTCCCGACATGGGTACAATATGTGAAGCCCAGTTCTGGTGTCCCCCGCCGTGATATTGCTGGAATATTTCTAAAAGCGGCGTAAAACCATACTCACTCACTCACTCACTCACTCACTCACTCACTCACTCACTCACTCACTCACTCACTCACTCACTCACTCACTCACTCACTCACTCACTCACTCACTCACTCACTCACTCACTCACTCACTCACTCACTCACTCACTCACTCACTCACTCACTCACTCACTCACTCACTCACTCACTCACTCACTCACTCACTCACTCACTCACTCACTCACTCACTCACTCACTCACTCACTCACTCACTCACTCACTCACTCACTCACTCACTCACTCACTCACTCACTCACTCACTCACTCACTCACTCACTCACTCACTCACTCACTCACTCACTCACTCACTCACTCACTCACTCACTCACTGTTCTTGCTTGAAGACAAGTTGTGACATTTAAACCTCTGCTCTCTCCCCACCAGACTCAGTAAATCAGTTGCTTTGTTGTCTTGAGAAAACAATGAGGACAATCAACTGTAATGAAGTCTAGATGATCAAATTGTTGTGTGGGAATAGTCATACGAGTCTGTTGGTAAAGTTCTCTGACATCAGCAGTATATCGCTTCTTGTCCTTAAGTTACAAACATTTGATCCACCTCTTTCATTAGACCCGTGAAGATCCGGGGTAGAATAGGTCTTTAGCTTGCCATAAAAAGCGACTATGCTTGTGGTAAGAGGTGACTAACGGGTTGGGTGGTCAGGCTCGCTGACTTGGTTGATGCATGTCATCGTATCCCAATTGCGTTGATCGATATTTATAATGTCAATCACTGGATTGTCCGGTCCAGACTTGATTATTTACAGACCGCTGTCATATACATGTACCTGCAATATTGGTGAGTGTGGCGTTAAACAACAAACAAAGCTCTTTCATTGTGATCTTTAGTTTATACATGTACAAACTGGTTTCTGCAGACTGGGTCAACATCCCTGCTGTCGTCGGAAGAGAACGCTATCCGGGAGTACATGTGTATCAAGGCCTACCTGGTGAGTGTCATGCATTTGTCATGCTAGTGGTAGGATTTACCCAGCATGTAGTGTGGTGTTTGCATTTTGTTTTATAGGACGAGAGTTACAAATCATACCTAGTTCCACCTTTTCTTTGTGAATTTACTTAACAAGGTCCTGAAATCTTTGCTTCAGAAGCATTGCTATGTCCTTGAACTGAAAGATTGCCTGAAGATTATCTCTTGGTTAAGTCTGTTCGATGTGGGCAGTTGGGTAGCCTAGTGGTTAAAGCGTTCGCTCGTCATGCTGAAGACCCGGGTTCGATTCCCGACATGGGTACAATGTGTGAAGCCCATTTCTGGTGTACCCCGCCATGATATTGCTGGAATATTGGTAAAAGCGGCGTAAAACCATACTCACTCACTATGTTGGATGTTTCTGCTTGTGGATAATCTTTAATTTGAAAAGTAAAAACTGAAATGTTGTTTCTTTATGTTATCCCATGTTGCTTGAATCCTACGGTTGGTGGATGGTTCCACCTGTTCATGTTTCAGATCGAGATCTGTTCATTAACCCCTGGGAATGTGATATTCTTCATAATTTCTCCAGTTGATTCTTTAGTCACACAGTTGACAGCAGAAGGGTTCTGGCAGTAAACTTTGACCACAATTATATACGTGTTTCAGGATGCCATTGAGAGTTTCAACGACTGGTTCTCCCTCTGTCATCACGGCAAGCCAGCCAAACCTGATCTGACAGTGGGCGCCAGCTTCACAGACCGTGTGGCGTACGAACATCGCATGAAGCAGTACCAGATGGAGGTGGACAGATGGAAGCACACGCTCCTGATGCAGACAAAGGTTGCCATCTTATAATTACCAGTAGCCACAAATATTTGCAATAACATGTGAACCGAGTCAATAAACGTTGGTCATCACTGTACTCTGTAACACAATACAAGTATATCGATAGGTCATGTATCTATACAAAACAGTACAAGTATATATAAGGATGCCACATCATCGATTTAATTTGTGAAGTGCTAAACTTTGATAGACACGTTTCCTGATAAAGTTTTCATGTATACAGTGTGAAAATAATCATGGACAAAATTCTATCATATCTTAATTAACACTTTGGTTTGTTTTGCTGTGTAATATGTCTCTTTCATTGTGTCCATTTTCTTGGATGATATCTGATGGCTTTGTTCCTTGTTGTGGGATAACTAAGGGACACAACTCTTGCTTCTCTGGATGGCACAGACATGTGTTTTGTGTTTCAGACAGCTAAGGACTGTATATACAATGTGCTGCTGTTTTTAGACAACTAAGGACCGTGTATACAATGTGCTGCTGTTTTCAGACAACTAAGGACCGTATATACAATGTGCTGCTGTTTTCAGACAACTAAGGACCGTGTATACAATGTGCTGCTGTTTTCAGACAACTAAGGACCGTATATACAATGTGCTTCTGTTTTCAGACAACTAAGGACCGTATATACAATGTGCTGCTGTTTTCAGACAACTAAGGACCGTGTATACAATGTGCTTCTGTTTTCAGACAACTAAGGACCGTATATACAATGTGCTTCTGTTTTCAGACAACTAAGGACCGTATATACAATGTGCTGCTGTTTTCAGACAACTAAGGACCGTATATACAATGTGCTTCTGTTTTCAGACAACTAAGGACCGTATATACAATGTGCTGCTGTTTTCAGACAACTAAGGACCGTATATACAATGTGCTGCTGTTTTCAGACAACTAAGGACCGTATATACAATGTGCTGCTGTTTTCAGACAACTAAGGACCGTATATACAATGTGCTGCTGTTTTCAGACAACTAAGGACCGTATATACAATGTGCTGCTGTTTTCAGACAACTAAGGACCATATATACAATGTGCTGCTGTTTTCAGACAACTAAGGACCATATATACAATGTGCTGCTGTTTACTGATGGAGGCTGGATGGTGGATCAGAGGGAGGTATGTTGACACAGTTATCTCCCCTTCACTCACCTGTCACATCCTGCAGATGAAGCCCTGATAAGTATCGCCATGAACTCACCACCTTCCTGTGTTAGATCCCCATGGGGATTCTGAGGTAAAGGTCCCCAGCACCCTTGCTTGTCACACTAATGAAGGTGACCAAAGTAGATCTTGTGTCATTGTGCCCCAGCTCTGTTGATCATTGCTCATGCTGTCGACCTCTAGTTTGCCTGACCCAGCATAAAACAACCTTCAATCTACTTGAAGTAAGCCCTCATATGCTTTCCAACAGGATGCAGCTCATCTTCCTGAGGCAAGGGAGTTAACTGACTATAACAGTCCCGTTTCCATCCTTGACAAACGAGGCAGAAATTATCGAGTTATATTTTGGCTGGAAAACAAGTCTTATACATAGTCCAATCCAAATAACAGAACTAAATTGACATTCGGTTCATTAACAACATGGCGACTGCCGTGCAGATTTGTAGAGCCTATGTACTGACTAATGGGTGCCAGCAGATGTTTTCCAAATCTTTTAATGTTTTAAATCTAGGTGCTCACGTGATTTGTTGTACTTCACAAGGTAAGATCCATGTTTTTACAAAAAATATCTTGCTTATCGATCAGATTGTCTTGACTGGGCGCCTCCATTTTGTTTGAATCAAATGCAAGTGATATGAGAGGTGGAATCTGATTGGATAATAGGAGGGACAGAGAAGGGACATAACCCGTAATCGCTTTTATAGTCGGATAACTCCCTTGCCTCGGGTAGATGGATACGGCTAGAACGTTCACTCACTTCACACACTGCATTGTGATGACACAGCGACACTTCATATGTCATCTTCTGTACACAGGAGAAAAGTGTTGATGAGTCCCGCCACCACCAGATGGCGTTGTTGAGACAGCTCCACCTACCAGCATTGTGCCTTAACCTGCATTATGTACTACACACCAGCGAACTGTTCGCAGAATGCCTCCAACTGGCCGACTATGTCTCCGCAGAACGCTATCAGCTATACAAGGTAGGAGAGAATGATTCGTCTAATTTATGACCTATACATTTTGGGATTGTTTATGAATATGTTTATAATGACTCATCCCCTGAATCAAGACTGCAGGACCATGATACCTGCCTGTCCTACCAATGCAGTCTGTCAAAGTGTTCTACATGTAGCCTTGTATACTGGTAGTAGGTTTAGGAGATGATCAGTAGGTGATAAAACAAGATGTCTTCCTGGTTCATATGTGAATCTATGTTTGCTCATCCAAGAAGCTACAATTAACTTACAGAGTTGCATCCGGTCCAGACTCGATTATTTACAGGCCGTCATCATATAGCTGGACTATTGCTGAGTGCAGCATGATTGAATGAGTCTCTTTCAATGCTGCTTTGAACAGTATTCCAGTTAGATTACGGGTGTCTGTTTTATGTGGGAGTAAAGTCTAAAGTGATTCAGGTCTTATACGTTTCCACTTGGGTGACACTCACGAACACGGGTATTGTGCTGACAAACCTAGAAACAAATTCAGCGTGTAAACAAACATGGAGTTGCATCCCTTTGCTGTGCCAGGATTTGATGATCATTTGATGGAATCCCAGATTTGTCGCTTTTATCGTTTTCTGTTGGACCATGCTTGTGTTTGTGTTTTTCATGTTAGGCCAGACTTCTTTTTTTTCTTTCTTTTTTTGTACCCAAAAATTCCGGTCAGTACAAAAATTCCAATTGCAAATATCTTTTGGGGAATTCCTCAAAATGTTTGTCATAATTCATTATGTTCTGAAGTTTGCAAGATACATTTTCAACAGGTTTTAATTTTGGTATGTATAATAATTTATTTATATTGATAGCAACAGAATATGAATATTGGGTGGGGAGGGGGTGGGGGGGATGTGTGTTAACATTTTATTTGGCTAGTACAAAAAGTTACAAAAAGATGTGTGGCCTTAATGCTGAAGGTCTTCACTGTGGACTGATGACTGTTGTTGTGTTACAGGAATTCAACAAGGATGACCTTCAACGACTCCTGCGACATATACGTGACTCGTCACTGGCTCTCCTGGACCAGAACAAGGATCCCCTCGGCTACCAGCTGGTGTAATGGAGATCACTCCCCTAGACAGGAAACAACAGCGTGTGTAGATGGGACGTGTGTGAGAGCTGCATCAGCCATGTGCTCTGTGTATGAGAGTGGTGAGACTGATGCATGTTAGCACCAGTATAGTGGACAGGTGTGCTTTATGTTGGATCTGTCCTGCCTGGACACAAGAACACTGACTGTCACAGGACACATGATGCAGAGCTCCAGATAAGCTTTTGGTGTATTGGGTATTTTACCCATGCATTTTAAAATCACTGGGTATCAGTAATTCTATCTGGGTATTCACATTTATGTTACCCACTAGTTTTTACACATGTGGGTATTTAAGTTACATATTTAAAAACACTATTCATCTAGTCCCTGCAAACTGGTGTTGTGTGGGTTCGAGAGCTTTATAGGACTCAAAAATACCACGATACTTCCACAAGAAAGTGTGATGGCAAATGATCATCGTGGAGTTTGGCTAGGTTGACGGAATGCCCGTTTATAATTTCCAAATAAGTTGCTGATTTGCCAATCGAATACGCAGGGTTACTTCACAACATTTTGATGATACGCTCAAGCTTTATTTTTGTAGCGTATCTGTAATGTTCGTTGCGTATTTGATACGCTTGGATATTATTTTACAGCGTATTTCTGCATTTCTGATGCGTATTTTACGCAGATACGCAGCTTATCTGGAGCTCTGCATGATGGAAGTATGCTGGAGAGGGCTGTGTTGTATCGTTTAAATATCAGGAGGTCCTCAATGTTATGCTTAAAACAGTAAAAGAATTGGTTCTCAGGCAATTGCTTGTGAAAATATAGTGTGGGTGGGCGGTCAGTGTGTTTTTGTTTTTTTGTGGGGTGTGTGTTTCAAACTAGCTTGTAACCAAATAAACAGTTGTGTACAATCAACCTGGGAAAGGGCCACCCTACATTGATGTATTCCTTGATGAGTAAAATACTGGAATACAGTATTTGACTACCGGTGGACTTGGAATATTTAAGGATTTTGGGTTTGTGTGTTTTTAGAAATAAAATGTGCAGCAAACTTCATGATGATGTTGGCAGTGCCTGAGAACCAAGACTATTATATTTTTAGCCTTAATATGGTCGAGTCTTCAAGTACCCAGGAATCAGAACACGTATTGGTCTTTACACAATGTCTGATACTAACGTTATATAGTTCATGTCATCCGATACACTTCATCAGTTTCACAGTGGTATTTTAATGATACAGTACCTGTGAAAAGAATGGGCTTCCTGAAGTGTGGGGTCAGGAGACCTCAGCTTATAAATGGAAGTCGTTTGGTTCTTCATGGGTGGTTCCTTGCAACCTATGCTAGTCATAAAAGGTGGGGAGGTCAGATTCAATGTTTTGGTGGATTTCATGTCCAGATGGTGTGGATCATTGCTCATAACATCAACCACTGGATTGTCTGGTCCAGATTCGATTTCTAACAGGCTGTTTTCATACTGCTCGGAAATCAACTATCAAACATCAGTGAATGCCTGGAGCCTTATGGAAATCCGAGCCCTGACTTGATCAGTAGTTTGTAGATAGCTGCAACCATGTCATGACCATTCTACACACAAGAAATGTACATCCATATCATAACACAAAGAAACCCATGTATGACCGACACAAGACACAAGGGCATACTACCTCAAGTCACCCTGTCCACCATGTTTCTACCTTCATCGTCAGAGTCTGGTTGCTAGTGCTACAGAGACAGATTTGGGTAGGGAAGCTGTGTGCTCTGGCAGATGCATCATCAACCATCAGGTCATCTTTGAGATGTATCGTGATTGCCTCATCCTTCCTACGTCTATTCATTTCATGTTTTCATACTTGTACAAATCATGATAAAATAAACAGTGTATATATGATGGATGTTTTGCCTGTGGTTTGTTTGGGTCAGGGAGTTATTCCTGGACGGCCATGTCATCTAGAGTGTACACCAAATGGGATCTAGTGTCCATCATGCTTGGAATACGAACCCAAAAAAATTCTGTTGTTCAAAGAACAAACAATTTCTCCTATTAAATATTAAAGATGTGAACTTCCTTTCCAGAGACGGGGCGGCCGGGTAGCCTAGTGGTTAAAACGTTCCCTAGTCACGCCAAAGACCTGGGTTTGGTTCCGACATGGGTACAATGTGTGAAGCCCATTTCTGGGTTCCCCCACCGTGATGTTGCTGGAATATTGCTAAAAGCGGCGTAAAACCATACTCACTCACTCTTTCCAGAGACATGGTGAGACCCAGACAAGATGTTTACTGGCTATGAATAATGCTTGACTGATACAAAGGGGAGACAGCTGGTATACTGGTGGCAGAAATAAGATTTGAAGATTCCTCAGTAAACAGTTTGATGTGTCCTGCAATATTAGGAATATCCTTATCAATAGTTAAGTATTTTGTGATATGTTGTTGAGGCTTTGCTGATTCACTTTGTTAATTCCAGTAGAGTGATCCAGAGCCTTAACCCTAATTTGTATACAGTATAGATTCCACTTTATCCAAGTCTAAGATTCATTTCCTAGAATTGACCAAGCCAACCAATATGGGTCATAAAAGGGGGCAGTCGGGTAACCTAGTGGTTAAAGCGTTCGCTCATCATGGGTACAATGTGGAAAGTCCATTTCTGGTGTCCACCCCCATGATATTGCGAAAAGCGGGGTAAAACCATACTCACTCACTCATTCGTTAGAGGATTGGGATCAACAGCCTGGATCGTTGCTCACAATGTAGATCACTGTATTGTCGGGTCCAGACTATTATTTAGAGGCTGCAGTCATAAAGCCGATATATTGGTGATTGCAACCCTAAACAAGAAAAACAAACGGTTCAGAAGCCGATTGCATAAAAGAAATCTACTTCAAAATGAGTGTTCATGTATTGATCCTGTGCGGCCAAGTGGACAATGCACCAATGGTACCAAGCAGTTTACTTCAGCAAGTTTAAACCCGATCAGAACGATTGCATGACGAACTTCGTGAAGATGTGTCACCTCATTGACACATTATCTGTGAGTTGCATCTGTACGCAAAGAAATAATTAATACTGAACTATCCCCATTCGCATCAACTGCAAATTTCGTGATGAGTAAGTCAAGAAGTTCCATCGAAATGATAGGACGGTACAATGGCAACTGTGACGTCACAGCGCAGCACGACATGCACATACAGAATGAACATACAGAATTTATTTCGTATGGTCTGGCCATGAGGCCAATAGTATAGATACAAAATCTGTTCACATACAGAATACCATCCATGCATTTTTCAAAATGTAATTGTTTACCGCAATTGTGGGCATTTAACGTAATGTCTTGCATTGATAAACCATCATCTGTGAACATGACACGAAGAAGGTTATCCGAGGTGTAAGGATGGCGTATTATTGGTATGCATTCGACAGGCATGGCCTACAAAAGCAGAGGACGTCAACTGGGGTATCATACCGAAATCAGCAGACTGGTACGAAAACACGGGCAAACCAATGCTGTTCAGGATCAGGAAGACCTCACATGAATTCAAGGTGTGAGGACATGGCCCTGCTTCAGCTTGTGCGTCGTTAACCATTTGCAACATCTGTTCTGAAGCGCCAGTGGTTACCCAATAGACGGATGTCAACCAGAACAGCGAGGAATCGACTGAAGTCGGCGGGAATGAAGTTCAAAAGGGTAATCAAGCATCCCTCCCTTACCGATCTTCATCGGAAAACTCGTTTAGCATGGTGCTTGGCCCGGAGAACATGGAATCTGAGACCTTGAGTTCATTGGTCCGTTGAGTGCAGGTCCCTGTTCCATGTGACGGATGGCCGATTGAGGGTTTGGAGGAATAACAAATATGGCCTACAGACCCGGGAAGACCTATGACCCCGTATGGTTGAGGTTCGGTAATGGTTTGGGTGCACCTGTCACATTATTGTAAGTTGGATCTTGTCACCATCCAAGGAACCTCAATCCTGTTCGGTAAATTCGTAACTTCCTGCAACCAGTTGTTGTGCAGCATTTCGACAACTGCTCACTTGCAACCCGACCTGTGTACACGGATGACAATGCTAGGCCACATCGTTCCAGAGCAGTAACAGCTATTCTGCAGAATGACGCTGAGGTGACACTGCTGAGTCCTGACCTGAAACCGCTGGAGCATTTTTGGGACTCATTGGGGCGTCGAGCACAGGCAATGGACCCACGTTACAGACTCTGGCCCAATTGGAGGCAGCTCTTTATCGGGAATGGCTGCAGTTGCCCATTCAGCAGATCAGACGACATACTGGAGGATGAGAGGAAGGCTGGAGGCTGCCATCCGGGCACGTGGCGGGTTTACCCGATATTGATGATTTGTGTCATAAATGTCACCTTTGGACAGAAAATGACGTTTCATCATCAATCATGATGTGGAATTATGTTCCTGATTCTGCACCTCCATACTTACTCTGGCTACTGTTTTTACACAAATACAGTGCCTCTGAGTGTTTGTTAGAATCACGATTAAAATCTTAAAACAGGATAAACTTTTTATGTTTTCTTATTGTCAGGGATGTCTCAATGCAAACCACATTCGTTTTTCTGAAGTTATGTTATCAGGGTTTCATTGCCAACGCTCGTATGACCAAACATTGTAAAATATACAGGGGTCCTTAACATTTTTCTTTGTGTATATGTAGAGAACTATATGTCAAGAACTTTGATAAATGATTTACACATGGCAATATCAAATTCCCCAACAAAGGCCCGTAGGAGCAACGGATGTATGATTCGCCCCCACACCCCGAGAAACGCACCTGCGGGCCTGGAACAATGGCCCAATCAGTTTAGATCAGATTCATGAATACAAAGACTGTATCACTGGACTGTTTCAACAGCGATCACTGGATCGTCTGGTCCAGATTTGAATATTTTCAGGCCGCTGTCATAAAGCTCTGCAGCATTAAAAAACAAACAAACGCTCGCATGTCAGGGAAATGTATTATCTATATTTGATTTTTGCAGATTTCGGTTCGTTAATTTCCATTCCGTGTCTATCAGGTGAGTGTGTTAATCTCCCCCTCCGGGTTTACTAATGTACGTGTTTATGTGTCGTGATAATCGTAAAGTCTCCAAGATAACATTCCAGGAGCTAGGTTTACCTATATCGAAACTATCACGAGTGGAGTTGCTCTACAGGCCTATCAGGGAACTGTATAAAGCACGGCATTGTTCTGGCGATTAAATATTCTGCCCAAGGGCGTAGCTCGCTGGGAACAGAGTGCTTCGAGTCTCTTTGATAAATATATACCTATTCAATACACGTAAATATTTATGATAAATGCGACAAATAATTCTAC